GGGCACATAAGCTGAATAGTTTCGATTTGCTATGAGTATTTTGCATTACACTATTAGGGTTACACAGTTGGCCAAATGAACATTTTAATTGGCAGTCTAATGCTTTATTTATTTAATCGTCGCTGTAAAGTTTCCTGCCACGTTCGGTTAGTACATCAGACATTTCTAAAAGATACAGTATGTAAGGAGACAATAAAAACGATTATGTTTCCGTGCTATTCTCGGAAGACTTCCGCATTTTGACTTCTCGTCTCTTCTATTTGCTGTAACATTTAAGTAATGAACATGCATTGCGGCGAATGCAGAGCCTCCCATCCTACATTCAGGCCCCTTGACCTCCGTTTTCAAAAGCGGTTGATTGCTTTGATGGGGTTTTATTGGGCATTTTTACATAGTACGAGGATATGGGTATGGATAGTCTGAAGGTCGAGCGTTGACCAAATGAAAGAAACTTACTTTTCCTTAGCAAAATATTCGCGCTAATTAATCGCTTCTTCCTTGCGAGGACGATTTAACACAGTAGTTTATATTGCAATCACTCTGGAGTTCGTCTTGTTAACCTTCAGGCTTGATCATGACATCGCTTCTGCCATTTCTGTTAAAATGCGAGTATTCGGCCCCCTCTTATGCATTCGAATAACAATAGGAAATCTCAAGGGGCTGTAAATGAACTTTTGCATTCTTTAGTTAAGTCAGTATGCGAACCCTCTTCTCAAGTTCGGAGTCCGTGTTATGGTCTTGTCTCTGGTCCAAAGTTCCTCGTTCCCTTTTCGATCCTTATATACGCCCTATTTAGCCCTTGTAACATTAGCATTATGGAAAGAGATCTCAATTTATTAACTCTACACTTAATAAATTGTTATATATTGGCTAGTTGTCGTACTTGCAAAGGACATAAAAAATCCCGTAAGCCGTACGTGGAAGTGCGCAGCTTATAACGGACCAAAAAATAGCGGAAATTCCAGTGCGATTTAGTTATTGTGATCTGCTAACTTCTGCTACATAATTATGACCTTGTTATACTTGTTCGTACCAATCAAAATTTGGACTTGCTGGTGCAATTGTATTCTTTGAACATTCAAGGCGGTGGTTTATTTTGACATATTTTTGCACGCGGGGGTTATTGTCATAGCAACTGCCCTTGAGTAGTCAGAGCCAAATGGCAATCATAATTCACTAATAATATGGAGGTAACCTGACTGTTTTGTTAGAGAATCGGAAGAATATCATGCAAATACTGAAAGATCTATTAACGTTGACAGAATACAAAATAACCAGTAACACTTAGTTATTTTTAATTTTTATTGTACTGTTGCTACAACTCATAAAAAAGAACTCCATTTTTTGGCGTTATCTCATGGAAAACTTACTGTTGTGTTTGAAGCTGTTTCGAGCGCGTATCGCTCCTTACCGACGTTGACCAATCAAAGAATAAGTATCGTGGGATCTCGTTTATGTCAAAATACTTGCAAGGATGAGCAGCAGGCATAGGGTCTCATTTAGCGAAAAGCTACCCTCCATAGAGGATGTGAAAAATTACATTAGGTCTAGAGAAGAGGACCCAAAGCTAAAGGCTATGTTGGCTTTTACGATATCCAAAGATCGTGAATCAAAATACAATAAAATATTGTAGGCTTTTGGTAATAAGTCCATTTCCAGGCTCTCGCAAGCTAAAGCCCTGAACTCGTTGCGCATGAAACAAGCCAAAATGAAAATGGAAATGGCAACTTCGGATCCTGTGCTCCCGCCATATGTATGGAATCTTAGCCATCATAAAATATATAGATGATGAGTGAAGATCATAGATTGCGAATTGCGTATGAGAAGTTGGTTGAATGCGTCAAATCGAGCGCAATACCGTCCATACATGAGAGCTGGCTGCATAATATTATTTCGAAAATTCCAAAGAAGCTGCGCAGTGGAAAAGAGGCTGAACTTAACCAAGTCCTGGTTGAAGTTCAGGCTAATTTTTTCAATAGCATGCAAAGAAATGTTTTGCAGCAATCACTCAGAGTTCCGCCCATCAAGGCATTAGATGTGGAGGATTTAACTACACCTATATTAGAGCCAACGTAATTGCTTTCTATGATGTTTATGAGGATAGTGGGATGAATTTTGCCAATCCCTGGCACAAGGAATACATTGCTCATCGAATTGAGCTACGAGAACACTTAATGCTTCTTTACCCCCAAATGATCAAGATTCTTGATGTTTGCGACAGATTTTTTGCATCGGTTCAAGTGATAGATGTTGACGCTTTCCGGTATAAATGTTTATGTTTATGTTTATGTCCCTTAGGGAACTGGGGCCCATTGATTTCGACTTCGTCAAGACCAAAGTTCAGGCCGACTGTAGGAATAGTGGTGAATATCTGATGGATAGGTAAGAACTTAGGTCGATTTGAATTTCTAGATGGTTTCCAAAGATTTGTTCAATCTTTGTGGGGAAAGCTCGCATTCCTTTTCTCAAACAGGATAAAATGAACGCATTTTTTAACTCTACTAGTGTATTAATATCGAATAAGGTTGGGCACTTGTAAATTTCGCTTACTTGTTCAGATTAAGCAATTTCTTTTACGAAATCTCGACTTCTGGGTTGACCTCTTCGACGAAGATCACCAAGAAAGGTTGCCCGTTTTGAAAATGTACTTGACTTTTGAGAATCAATGCGTCAAATTCTTTCCCGGCTATGAAGACTTGGAGGAGCTTCTTCTGTCAGTGGCTAAGTACATCTCGGAGTCTATGCCACAGGTGTCATATTCTGCTCAAAAATGAGTTTTACTGTCACTATTAATAATTTTAACTGCCTCACTTAAGGCGCTTTGCGAAAGACTGGTTTGATTTGTTATTTACAAGTAAGCTAAATTGTTTCAGTGGGGGTAAGCTTACGCATCACTCCCCTTCAGATATGAGATGGGTGCTATTGTTTTATACAATCATAAACGAAATGTAATAGAGTTGCAGTAGACAAAACAGCTAATGATGGCGGTCATCTCTTTCGGCTATCCCTAATCGCCTCAGTCACATCTTGGCGGCAGAAATGTCGCGGATTTACGCTCAAAGTTAGGTGTCTTTATTAATTTATGATGTTCGTTATCAATAATCGAGTTCTGAGATCAGTTTTAGCGTTTTTCTGGTGGGTTTATTTGGATTTGCTCAGTGCCAAGCGGCGGCGACTATCGGTTTTGCCTTTAAGCGTGAAACCGGCAAGAGATGCCTAAAATGGCCAGTATCTAAAGGTCGCAACTATTATATTGGTTAACTTTCATCGTTTACAACTATTTTTTTTACTGCCTTAGGTGCCAACGGTGCACTCTATCCTCTATAGATCTGACTCCCCTCGATACATTGACACCAAAATTGCCCCTCACATAATGGAAGTCATACAAATCAGACTAAAGAATGTTGCAAAGTTCTACTTTGAACCAGCAGAACGCTTCTTCCGCCAACACATTGGTAGGTGCTAGGACACCATCGATCCCCAAATTCTAGCTGAACCCTATTCCTACATATTCGACGGTACTGAAGCTAGGCTGGTGGACGACTTCTTAAAAAAGGACCCAGAATTTCGAGACTACCGTGTTGTAGGTTGCTGCTCGATACATTTATTCAAATACTCGTCTGACAAAGTCGATCACATGGCACAAACATTTCTTTCCCTAAAAGTACGTCGCGAAGCTTCACGATCTGGCTCATGACATCAATCACCTCCCGGATGTAGAGTACTTTGATCTAATTCGTTTGGACTGTGAGGATGTTAAAACCGGAATTTCCAAAGAATGCATGCGATTGGCTAACAATCTTCTGGAGACTTTGGCCAATAAACTTCGCCAAGTTAATCGCGAGTGAGTATTTGAGCAAATATCGGCAAATATTTACTGCACCCTTATTTGCATGTGTATACTTTTTGTGCTTTAGTAGACCAGGATGATGTGCATCTTTTTTCGCTGCTTAGGGTTTGCGCAAGCTTTGAGGAAATGCAAACCAAGTGTCGAACCATTCCACAGACAAGCGAAGAATTGATTGAACTCAACTCCTACATGGAGGAAGCACGTTGTCAAGGCATGGTACGAATGGAACAGAAGATCCAGGTCTGTTCAGCACAAATATTTCACCCTTCATACGTCCAAATAATCCTTAAGCTGACTGCTGATCGCTCAACCACATTTACCTATCAAAATGATTAATTGAAGTGGCACTGACTTAAATTAGCATAACGCCAACACCTAGACTGCAGCTGTTGATTTTCTCATTTTAATTATTAGTGGACTCGAGAATACTTAGTTTACCTATTGGATGTGTATGACTTCACACCAGAGGACATAATGACTAACAGTCAGGTGCTTACATGGAAGGCCCGAATAAATCCCGAATTCGATGCTCATGATAAGGCAAGTTTCATCATTTTCTGGTCATGTACGCACGCTTCGCTAGGATGCTGGGATTGAAGGCAGTATTAATAACACTTACTCTCCCTTTTAAAGATGCAAGAAAATATGCGAACTGTGAATGAGCAAAGAATCAATGCAAAACGTGAACAATTGGAGGGTGACTTGAAACGTTTAAGAAATCGCGTGGATGAGTTTAATGACTATGGAGAAGTTGACGCAGAAATGATGGCACAGTACGCTAACGATGTGCGTGTTGTCTTCAAACGGGTTAGTGAGGCTGAGAGCTTGCGTGAATGGATCAACAAGGAAGAGAAACTCTACCAGATTCCCATATCACCATTTTCGGACATTGAAGAGATCAAGGCACTCGCTGAACCATTCCATCGTCTATTCACCAATGTCGTCAAGTACTACAAATCTGAGAGGAGGTTAGAACTGAGTGCTTTAAAGAGCATTTATCAAAAAAATTCTCATGACATGCATTAACTTTAATAAACATTTGAAAATATTCTTGATGATCTACTTATCTCACACACCTAAAGTATGCAACCTTTTCTACATCAGATGGATGTATGGCGAGTTTGATAAATTGGACGCAGAAGCTATTGAGGATGAAGTAGATGAGACGTGGAGGGAGATGTTCCGTTTACAAAAAGTCTTTGATAACCGATTAAAAAAAATGAGAATGGAGGCGGATGAACGGCGGAGGGAGCGAAATGAGCGTCTCCGACGCCGCATGTTAGCAGCAAGCAAAGCAGAGCCGACATCCACACCTGTGGATGAGGAGGCTACAGCTGCAGCGGCGATGGTAGGCGGGGCAATGGAGGATGAGGAGGTTCCCGAAGTTAAACCTCCAGCGGGTCTTAAAACTGTTAACTTTATGCTGGAACGCCTAAAGAAGTTCAAGGTTGGTCCTTTACAACTCCCTTTCGTACAATGTTTTACGCTTGATAATTACGGCTTTTCTAGGACATAGTTCCTGTCATACGGATTCTCTGCAATCCGGGAATCCGTCAGCGACACTGGGATGCCATGTCAGCGATTGCGAATCGGGACTTGACCCCAGATAGCGGTACCTCACTCTCAAAGATGCTTCAAATGAACCTGACACCGTACATGGAGCAATTTGAGGCAATTTCGGTGGGTGCGAGTAAGGAGCATACACTGGAGGTTAATCTGGTGAGGATGCGTGAGGACTGGACAGATGTCTGTTTCACCCTGACGCCCTATCGTGAGCATAACTTCTCAATTCTCGCCTCTGTGGACGACATTCAACAGCAGTTGGATGATCAGATTGTTAAAACGCAAACAATGCGTGGATCACCTTTCATCAAACCGTTCGAGATGCAGCTGAAGGTAGTGTGTAATGTTTTTATGCGGCTAGCTCTGGTGGCCTTCTCTACGTTTAAAATTTGGGTCGATATAAAGTAATTCATTAGGAGAGATTCGCTAGTTCCAACTACTTCCCCTCAACCTTATCTTAAATTGCTTGATCGCTATGCGGAGATTTTTGACTCTACTCAGACTGACGTCCTCATTGGGGTTAATTCGGCTCCTGCTAACTTAACCTTGCGATCATCTTATTTAATCTTGTCTTAGAGTTTTAATTTTAAATTCGTTGACATTTTTCACGCCATAGATGGACATTTCCCTGTAAACCAAATTCAGATTACACCATTTGTATGATTAGCATATTACAAATGCACCTATCTGGAGGCTTTTCATTTCCGTATCCTTTTTTCTCATGTTTTTCTCACTACAGAAATGGGAGGAGCAGTTACTCCGCATTCAGGGCATCATCGACAGTTGGCTGGTGATGCAAGCCAACTGGCTCTACTTGGAGCCAATTTTCAGCTCTGAGGACATTATGCAGCAAATGCCAGAGGAAGGTCGTCTCTTCGTGGCTGTTGATAAAACGTACCGTGATATAATGCGTAATGCGGCTGTGGATACTCACGTACTCAAGGTAATAAGCCTTTTTAAATATATGATTAACCATAACTCTACGTTGCCTAGCCTTGATCGAAGCACTGATGTCTTGGCAAGATTCGGCTTATTCAGTGTCTGGAAATGGTTTCATTGTTGAATCGTGGTAGAATTGAGGGTCTGATTGCGTAGCTGTTTCCCATTTGTCCCTTTTTCTTCTCAAAGGCCACTTCGATGGTCGGTCTATTGGAGCGCATTCGGGAAGGCAACGCCCAGTTTGATCGTATTAATAAGGGTCTCAACGCCTACCTAGACAAGAAGCGTCTTTTCTTCCCTCGATTTTTCTTCCTATCTAACGATGAGATGTTAGAGATCCTCTCAGAAACAAAGGATCCTCAGCGCGTCCAACCACATCTTAAGAAATGCTTTGAGGGCATCGCCAAGTTGGAGTTTGACAAGAATCTTGAAATTAAGGCCATGTTTTCTGGTGAAGGCGAGAAGGTGGTCTTTAGTCAGGTGAGTCTTTTGAGGTGCTTTCATCTATTTTTGTAAACTCGGGCCTGGTGTTGGTCTCTACTTGTGGTTATCAAATTTCACAACCAGCAGGAGTGGTCAAAGTCCCGGTTGCTTCGGTCCATTTGATCGTGGGTAGGATTGAAGAATCACTGATGTTAAATCTTCTGGTGCTTATTTTAAATATGCCTGCAAAATCTATTTTTTTTGCTGTAATTGATCGTCCAGTTGCTTCTTTTGTTACGCCTAGATTCGCAGACATGCTGAAACGCCTTGAAAGATACGTTCGTTTTTGCGTTCCTGATCGTCCACTACTGCACGTAGCCAGATTTTAGGTGTAGTGATAATTAGAGTAGAGTCGAGGCCAAATAAACTGCTGTAGTTATTTGAGAGTATGGCCGACCTTTGTCTCCAGTAGTCAGTTGCCAGGTGTATCTCACCTTACCAGTGTAAATGGTACTTTAGGTCTATGCTTTTCAACCTAGTTGAGAAGTCAGCAGGATCCGATACCATTAGACTTTTCGATGGACCAAGTTATCTTTCACGCCCAACTGGCTAGAGTAGTTGACGAGCTGGTATCATCGTGCTGCAAGTCTACTAAATTCAAAAGAGCACTGTCATCGGCCATAAAACCACATTGCAATTGCACAGTTTGGTGTAGCCTTTCAGAACACTTCGTTGGGTTGACTGTGCATTTTTGTTTTGCAAGGCTTTTCAAGAACTTGTCACTTTGAATTACATTGTTGTCTTGTGATTCTTGCTTATCTCTCAATGTTTTCTTGTCTTGTAGAACATTGACACAGCAATTTGTAGAGGAGCAGTGGAGAAATGGCTCCTGCAAGTTCAGGACGTCATGGTGCTATCAGTGCACGACGTCATTGCCAGTGCAAGAGATGTAAGCAATCAAGTTGTCCCATTGTGTCCTTGATTTTTAAATGCACTAAATTGGTTGAAAATGTTTTTTAATGTTTTGAAGGGCGAAATAAGTGATCCTGGTTACCTCCTTACTTGCATGTTTCAGTCGTTTGTGCTTCGTTTTGCAAGAAAGGTAGCAATTGCCACTTGGAGAGCCTAAAGGTTGGCAGAAAAAAAAGTGGAATTTCTTTCCGTTAACATAATTTCTTGGCAACTGAGCCTTGAGTTTTATTTCTCGAGAGCGAAGAGGACGTTTTGCAGCTTTAGGAACAGTACAGTCTCACGTGTTGAAATGTTGCATTCAATTACAACTGACTATTTCAGGGAGTCTTTTGTAAGAAACCTTAAGACTCCTTGATATTGTCTTCAGCGCTCCTAATAATCCCTCCTCGATAGTATTTTTTGCTATAATCCCATCATAGAAGAGGAAGAATGCCACACTGTGATTTTCTGTCCCAGTGAGATTTGAGGATCTCATGTGACTTGATGACTGGGCCTAGAAACTACTCTCATGGGAGAGAGCTATTTTCAAACACACGCATTTCTAATAAGCTGAATTCAGTACCTCTGAGCTCTTCATTCATGTCAGGCTTACGACAGCGACCTTCGAGATGTGTGGGTGCTGGACTGGCCAGGTCAGGTGGTGCTCTGCGTTTCACAGATATTTTGGACCCTGGAAGTCTCCGAAGCCATCGCATATGGCCAGGCGGAGGGATTGGCAACATACAAGAGGAAGCTGGACTCACAGATCGCTGCAATTGTGCGGCTGGTAAGGGGCAAGCTCTCTACTCAGGAGCGCATAACCCTTGGCGCCCTGGTAGTCATCGACGTCCACGCCAGAGACACAGTGCAAACGATGGTGCAAAACAAGGTGACCGATGAAAATGACTTCCAGTGGCTGTCCCAGCTCAGGTACTACTGGGAGGAGGACAACTGTCTGGTCAGTCGCTCATTTATATCTTAACCCACTGCATTACCTGAGTTGTGCCTGTAAAGACAGTGAAATACTGGAATCGAGACGTTACCGTTTTGTGGTCTTGTGGAAGATCTATATTTCAATGTAGCTCGTGCAAATTATTTCTAAAGATTTTAAGATATGGACTTATTTTGTGATTAGGTTCGTCTAACAAACGCTGTGGTCCCCTATGCCTACGAGTATCTGGGTAATTCTACTCGTCTTGTAATCACTCCTCTAACTGATCGCTGCTATCGAACTCTCATTGGAGCCTACCACCTCCACCTCAACGGAGCTCCCGAGGGTCCAGCTGGGACTGGTAAGACGGAGACCACCAAGGACTTGGCCAAAGCGATAGCTGTTCAGTGTGTTGTCTTCAACTGTTCTGATGGATTGGATTATATCGCTATGGGCAAGGTGAAATTGGCCATTGGAGCCTTCTCTATCTTCTTCTAAGTTCGTATGCCTTACTACATTCACGTTTTCCTGCCAGTTTTTTAAGGGACTTGCTTCATCTGGTGCCTGGGCGTGTTTCGATGAGTTCAACCGAATCGAGCTGGAAGTGCTCTCGGTCATAGCTCAGCAGGTTGGCTTGACCTTTCGATATTTTATTACTCAGTCGTGAAAGACTCGATTGATGTCCATTATTAAAGGATGTTTTCTTTTATTCTCGATTTACCCCAATCAGATGGAAAGACTCTTCAGACATTTTCAAATGTGAAGCTTAACCAATACCTTCCTGATTTTCTATGCCAAAAAATACTAGTTTCCAGAGTTCTTACCTGATTAAAGCAAGTCCTGTGCCTTCTGGACATCCCCAAAGCTCCTCCCGATATATCGCCATAATTGTTGTCCTTAAAAGAAATTAAGACCTTTAGTAAGTTTATTTACTTCGTCACTATGGTTTGGGAATCAATAAACAAGCCTAGACGGGATGTTTGAAGCCTTTGCTGGGTGCGATGCCTTAAAGACTTGCCCTTACTAGAACCCTAAAATTGGGCGGGTATCTTACCTTGCGCGGTGGAACAGATTGTGTCAGTTTCGGCAGCAAACATATTTAGCAAACGCTTATGTTCTATACTGATCAGATTTTGTGCATTATCCGCGCAATCCAAGCCAATCTCGAGACGTTTGAATTCGAGGGGACATTACTCAATCTCAATCCAAACTGCTACGTTTGTATCACTATGAATCCAGGCTACGCTGGACGTTCCGAGTTGCCAGACAACCTGAAGGTAAGTATCTTCTGTCTACATCCTTACCGGCTGTCCTCCCTCCCATTACCACTCCTTTCTGCGCTCTCTCTGTGTAGATCCTTTTCAGGCCAGTGGCAATGATGGTTCCGGACTATGCGATGATAGGCGAGATCTCTCTTTACTCCTATGGTTTCATGGACGCACGCAATTTGGCAGGCAAGATAGTCACCACGTACCGCCTGTGCTCGGAGCAGCTCTCCTCCCAGTCTCACTACGACTACGGTATGCGCGCCGTCAAAGCGGTTTTGCAGGCTGCGGGTAACTTGAAACTTCGGTATCCGGAGGAGAATGAAATGATTCTGGTGAGAGAAACACTTTCATTTTTATTTGTTGATGTCGTAATTCTTTCATTCCTGTAGTGATTGTCCAACTGTCTTTACTTTCAAGGCACACTTCTAGTCAGCGTCTTTCAATGGTGTTAGATAACATTCCTCTAAAAACATTTACTTTCAGTTTCCACATCTGCGGCTATCAATTCTCACTAAAATTGACGTTAATGGGAAATGTCGCTAAATCAGCAGCACTTTTAAAGTGACATTTTATGAACTTCTTTCACCTGACGAGCTCCATTCCTCGTGTATCCAATGCGTTTGTCTATTTTTCGACTCACTCCTGTTTTCCATTTTCTTCTCAACTGCCGATCATACAAGTGTTCCTCTAAGCACTTTCTTCATACCAGTTACTCCCATTAAAAATAGCTTCTGCGTTCGATCATGGATGTGAACGTGCCTAAATTCCTGTCGCACGATATCCCACTCTTTCGTGGCATTATCTCCGATCTCTTCCCCGGTGTCATTCTGCCCGATGCAGACTACTCAGATTTCCTCAAAGAAGCGGTGATGGTGTGTCAACGCAACGGTCTCCAGGCTGTGCCCAATTTTACAGAGAAACTTATACAAACCTACGAAATGATGATTGTTAGACACGGGTAGGTATCATGTCTCATGCACTCAAATTGCTATTTATTTTGTTAATGTTTTCAAGGCCAGGCTAATCAAATCTCAGTGATCCAAGTTAAAACTTTGTTCACCAGACTTCTCGTGAATATTTTACACTGCATAACTGTTAGATTGAATTCAACCACTATTTGAGGCGTACCAGTTCAATTCATTGCTAAACAAATACATTTATGGAGTGGATAGTTTGCTCGATATTTTCTGAGGGAGATGAAAGCTGTCAGTGGCATGAAAGAAATGACAACAGTAAAGTTGGTTCTCACATGTTTTACTTGTCAGTCTTTAAAATCTAGCCCTAAATGGGGTTGAAAGCTTGTTTTTTTGTACCCTTACACGAATAACCTAGGGACTCAATATACGGTTTCATAATTCCCCTCCTTTCCCTTTAACACCTTCAGTTTTATGCTGGTCGGTATGCCTTTGGGAGGCAAAACCAAGATCCTTCACACTCTGGCCGAAGTAATGACTGGTCTCTTTGAAAAGGGCGACACTAACTACGCCAAAGTCTTTTACCGTACCATCAATCCCAAATCCATCACTATGGGGCAGCTCTTTGGCGAGTTTGATCCCGTTTCTCACGAGGTCGTGTCTTTTTCAACAGTATCGGCTGTTATAGACAATTTTTTTTCAAAAAGCAAAACTTTTGGTTACTTTAGTGGACAGATGGTGTTACAGCGAACACGTTCCGTGAGTACGCCAACATGGAACCGCCTGATCGAACATGGGTGATTTTCGATGGACCTATTGATACTCTATGGATTGAGAGCATGAACACTGTCCTGGATGACAACAAGAAGTTATGTCTCATGTCAGGAGAAATTATTCAGATGTCCAAGACTATGAGTCTTATCTTTGAGACCATGGATCTTCTACAGGCATCGGTAGGATATTGTAGCACCTGAATGTTGATATATTTGTTTAACCAGTACAGTCTAGCATACATCAGCTTGTTGAGATTTGGACCTACTTTCTTCTTAAAATGTGGGCAATTTTATTGCTTTAGCCGGCGACAGTGTCTCGCTGTGGTATGATCTACGTGGAACCTATGGCACTGGGATGGCGGCCGCTAGCAACGTCGTGGTTAGACAGCCTTCCCGAATCTATGACTCTTGGTGACGGCAAGAAGGCACTGCAAGACCTATTTGAATGGCTTTTCGATCCTTGCTTGAAATTCATTCACGCCAACTGTCGGCAGTTGATCCCTATCAGCGCAATGTGTAGTATCATGTCTACGCTAGACTTTCTTAGCGCTCTCATTATGGGGCCCGCCAACGCCGAGGGTGCAGTTGACAATCGATACCTCAGGCAATGGACACATGCCTCTTTGCTCTTCAGTGTTGTCTGGGGCATCGGTGGATGTCTGGATGAGAACAGTAGAATCAAGTTTGACGATTTTATTAAACCAATTCTTGGTGGAAAGGTACCGGAGTTGCCCGTACCCCAGAGCATCGGTGGCCGCTGTGATTTTCAAATGCCTGACACCGGGCTGGTCTACGATTACTTCTACGAAGTAATTTGGATTTTGAATCTCCAATAACTCTGAGGCTGAAAAAATTGACCTTCATTCTCTTTTAGTTCAAAAGTCGAGGGAAATGGAAGCATTGGAATGAATTGTCAAGAGGACAGAGTAAATTTGAGGACATGGAGATAAGAGACATAATCGTTCCTACCATGGATACAGCTCGCTACAAATACCTCGTTGACATCTGTTTGACAAGTCGGCAGCCATTGAGTTACATTGGTGTGACGGGTACGGGCAAATCAGCCTATGTTCGGGAGAAACTAATGCGAGACATTGACGAAGAAATCTACCGACCATTCTTTATCAACTTCTCAGCTCAAACCAGTGCCAATCAAGTTCAAGTAGGCTCTGCGATTTCAGTGTTTTATCCAATCCACTAACTATGAAATCACTGACTGATTTTGGTGCTGTTGCTATTTATGTAGATTGTATTTGTATACTTTGTTACCTTTTGCAAGAACCTCAGTGATAAGGTGGCTATTTACTCATTTTCACTATAAAACCATCGAAATTAGGTGTCGAGGCCCTTATAAGTAGGCTACCTCTCTTAAATGCGCCCTCTGAACAAGTTGAAAAAATACAAGTGCTAACGTTTGGAGCAAAGACTTACATTGATTTGCGAAATCACCATTTTTCGTTGATATCTGACCACTCAGTTCCGAACACTTGAAGTTTAGCCTTTCCTATCAACCGAACTTCTTCTTAAGGATATAATCATGTCAAAGTTGGATCGCCGTAGGAAAGGTGTGTACGGCTTACCGTTCGACAAAATTGCAGCATTTTTCATTGATGACCTAAATATGCCTGCTAAAGAGGTTTACGGTGCTCAGCCGCCAATTGAATTGCTGAGAACCTTCATGGACCATGGGTTTTTGTAAGTTTTAACTTTTGCTCCCAGCGCTTCCTTGTTTCCATACTTCTCAGTATTCCAATTTGTAAACATTCTGCGTACGTTTGAGTGGATTGTAAACAAGTGTTAAAGCACTTTTTATTCCCTCTCTTGTCGCTCGCCAGCTACGATCTGGATGACATGTCGAAAATCCAGCTGATCAACCTCTACATCTGTACGGCAATGGGTCCACCAGGTGGTGGTCGCAACGATGTGACCCCGCGGTTCATGCGCCATTTCCATGCCGTCTCCATGGTGCCTTTCAACGATGTAACCCTCACTCGCATTTTCACCACACTTATTCAAACATACCTGCGGGTGGGTTTCTGGTTCTTCTTACCTGCATCAAATCCACTTTCTTTAGGTAGTTCACGGCTAGGTCACTGTTAATTTTTGGACGTAAACACCTTGATAAATGCAGAAATAGCATTCACAATCGTCCAACATTGATGATGAGGCTGCTTTTGCTGTTCTTTGGGTCATATCAATTGGGATCTGGTAGAAATTTTAGTTTTCTCGTGCCATTTAATGCGGTACACAGTATTCATAACCACCAAAATTTACCATTACTGAATCCAACGTCTGTCGCTAAACTCAATAAGCAAAGAATGAGCGTTGAAGACCAAATAAAACTAGCCATAATAAACTACACACAAGTTTTCGGTACTTCTTCCTTGTCTCTCAAATAACAAACCACTAAAACAGTGAGGAAGACCTTTAAAACCTAGTAATCCTCTGATGCGTTTTTTATAATGCATTTCCTACAGCCTTCGGGTTGTCGCAGGAGAATCAGTGTTATAAACAGGGCAAAATCGAGAGATGCGAGGAATTCATGACGTCGGCGCAGCTTCGCACCACCAATAAGGCAGAAAGATCGAGCAGAAGATTATTTGTCTTTCTCGGTTTTCGTTCGATGTACTCAGTGCAAATAACCACTATCATTCCTTATACCGTACTCGTATATCAGATTAAGGTGTCAAAAATGAGCCCAAACATGTTTAGCAGTTTATGCCAACTGTACTAAAACAGAGAAGCATTAAAAGAGATTGACTCCACCTGGCTTCATTTGACATTGGAACTGTTGGTTGTCATAGGCTTGTCATTATTTGTTTGTGCCCAAATTAGGCGCATGAATTCACCTCCGACTACTATGTCCTGGGTAACTCAATGGTTGACGCAACACTTAACGTCTACAAGGCTGCCATTTCAAATTTATTACCGACACCAGCTAAGTCACACTACGTCTTCAATTTGCGTGATTTCAGTCGTGTTATCCTCGGTATTTGCCTTATCAAGAAGGAAGGTGTGAAAGACAAACATACTTTCATTCGTCTATGGGTCCATGAGGTGCTCCGTGTCTTCTACGATCGCCTCACTGACGAAAAGGACCGTTGGTGGCTTGTTGAGTAGGTCTAAGCTGTTTTTTTGTGACAATAAATCGGATATACAGAACCGACTAAAATATATACATTTTATCCTTTAAAGTTTTATCAAGAACACAATTGATACATCTTTCAAGGACAAAGTAAACATGGTGTTCTCCCACCTCCTCGCTAATATCAAGGACGAGGTTGGTTGATTCGCAAATTCGCTTGTAGAATTACCTTATTTAGGTCACCGAAGAGACCTTTAGAAGTCTAATATTTGGTGACTTTATGGACATTGATTCACTGCCCGAAGAGAGGAATTATGAGGAGGTGATGGATATCAACATGATGTATCCCGTTGTGGAGCAGTGTCTTGCAGACTATAACGCCACCCACAAAACAAAAATGGCTCTCGTTATTTTCAGGTTAGTTGGTGATTTTCATTGATGCAGCTCACCTGTTGAAAGGTGTTTGGACCTTTACGCTGGAAACTTGTTTGGGTTACAGGTACGTATTAGAACATTTGGCACGAATTTGTCGTGTTCTTCGCGTGCCTTCTGGAAATGCGCTGTTAATTGGAGTAGGTGGTTCCGGCAGACAGTCGTTGTCACGTTTGGCCTCCGCCATGGCAGGCTACGTCACATTCCAACCAGAGGTCTCAAAGGACTATGGTCTCCAAGAGTGGCGTGAGGATGTCAAGGTGAGGTTCTCCTTCCTTTCAGATGTTCTCTTTTTCAAAGATTTTGCGCTTACAACTTTTATATTTACTTATCTTAAAAGTGTAAACATGATTACCGAAGGACTCGAAGTGGGTCTCAAAAACTAACTAGAGAGCCTATGCGACGTGCACCAAACACTGGGTCTAACTGGCTTGTATGGTAGTTTGCAATCCTAAAATTAGAAAAGGTATTTTTTAATTTGAACTTTAAATTGTTCAAACGGGTGCGCCTTATTTGTTTTGATGTGAACTAAAACGAATCGAAGTTCAAAGTGTATTTTTTGGTCCAGTCCTGTCTTAAAAATGCTGGCGGACGCGGGATGAAGACCGTCTTCCTAATGACTGACATGCAGATAAAGAATGAGGCCTTTCTTGAAGATGTTGACAATCTTCTCAATTCTGGTGAAGTGCCAAACATCTTCACCTCAGAGGAGCGTGCTGAAGTCACCGAACTCGTGCAGACAGCTATAGAGGTAGAGAATCGGAAAAATGCTGCCACTCCTGGCGGGAGTGGATCTAGAGTAACGCAAGACATGTCACCACTGGCACTCTTCACTAACTTTGTCAGTCGCTGTAAAGCTAACCTTCACGTTATCATTGCATTTTCACCCATTGGAAACGCCTTCCGGAATCGTCTCCGCCAGTTTCCATCCCTTATCAACTGTTGCACCATCGACTGGTTCACGGTGAGTGGTGTCCGCATCAACACAAAACCTTCCCTGTCTTGTTCAATTGATACATCCTTTGATAAAATTCCTAATAGCCATGGCCAGAAGACGCGCTGGAAAGAGTTGCTCGCCGTTCACTGGAGTCGCTGGGAATGGAAACGAAGTTCATAGACAGTGTTACCTTTATTTTCAAACACTTCCACACATCCATTGCGAATCTGTCAGAGAAATTCTTTGCAGAACTTGGAAGGAAAACTTACGTTACACCAACGTCCTACTTGGAACAGATCGCATCGTTTGAGCGACTCATTACGAAGAAGAAGAATGAGATTATGATGGCCAAAACGAGGTACATTGTGCATTCAGAAAAAAAATGGATTATTTGATATTGTAACTCGATAATTCGTTGTTGAAACGCGTCTTTAACATTGTAAATTCAGTACTAGCAGGACCTATTTGATGCCATTTCCACAATTTTTATGAACGTTGAGAGAAATTTGTAGTCCTAGAGCCCAGTCCCTGAAGGAGACTTTCTACTCTCGTTTGATTTTTGTCTTGAAAAGGGTGTAGTGGATAGGAATGAGACTTGTAATTGCTACCAGCCGGGATAACCGTGGTAATTGGAGCCTCTGTGCTTGTGTCAGCTGTAGTCCAGTGTGTCCCGGTCAGTTGTTGAGGCTGATGGTCGCGTTTCTCTAATTGTGTGCCTTCAAACCATAGATATAGACGCGCAATGAAGACTAAAGTGCCTTTAGGTAGTTTAAAAACTTGCATCTGTTTGTCGAAACCACCGTCTGCTCTTAAGATTGGTACCTCAGGTGCTTCGACGAACTAGTCTTCGACGTTGGTCAAGTGCTCTTTACAGGCTTTCTTTTAAGTTAACCACCGAAATGTTTCAAATGTCAATGCATTGAACCAATAAAACCAACTATAAGTCATGAAGAGCAGTAATAATACAGTTTATTGTCACCCTTCCAACAGGTACCTTAATGGTCTAGACAAGCTCGCTTTTGGCGCAAGTCAAGTGGCGGACATGCAGGTGAAACTGGAGGAGCTACAGCCGCAACTTGTGGAGGCAGGCGCAGCCAACGAGCGCCTCCTAGTGGTGATTGCACGCGAGTCAGCGGCGGCGGAACAGCAACGAGAGAGAGTAGTGCAAGAAGAAGAGGTGGTAAATTCCAAGGCGGATGCCTCAAAGGCGCTATCGGAGGAGTGCCGAGCCGATCTGGCTGAGGCGCAGCCCGCCATGGAGGCAGCTTTGGCGGCCCTGGACACTCTTAAACCTGCCGATATCACTATTGTCAAGTCGATGGCCAATCCGCCTTTTGGAGTGAAGTTGGTCATGGAGGCAGTGTGTGTGATGCGGGACATCAAGCCAGATCGAGTTAATGATCCTAGCACAGGAAGGAAGATTTTGGATTATTGGGGACCCTCAAAGAGGCTCTTGGGTGACATGAACTTTTTGCAGACGTTGAAAGAATACGATAAGGACAACATTCCTGCTCAAGTGAGATTAGAAAAATGACTTTAGTTTAAGTTAAGACAACCTTCTCCTATTTGGGATCTATTCACATATGCGTCGTGTCCAGTATCGAACTTACAATGAAGCTACTTTCGATTGAGTTGCGAGTTTGGAAGCAATAATTCCACTTTTGATTTCATTAATATATTATATTGTAGTGCATTAAGATGGCCGTTTTTAATAGTTGCACAATCAATTTATAAACCATTTATTTAAAAACAAGTTCTTAGAGGCATTGTTGCTAAATTGGTCCATTTATTTATCGTTCTCTGTTCTCGCACTACCCATCTATTCATCCATTCCCACAATGGGTTCTTCCACATGAGTGGGAGAAGCGTCACTTCATTCCCCTTCGTTAACTTCAAATATTAACGCAATTCTCGCATGTTTATGGTGGACCGTAAAGAGAATAATTAACTCATTTTCTGGCATTACGGATGGTTTTGTAAATGGGCCGAAATATTGCTCAGACGGGTCTGTTGAAAACCTCTAAGTAGAGTTTCTTTTAGCGTTTTATTATTCACATTCATCTCTCGGTGTGTACGTTCCCCATTTTATTCAATCTAGATTATTACCAATATCAGAAACAACTACATAACAAATCCAGAATTCGATCCTGCAAAAGTTGCCCGTGCGAGTTCAGCAGCCGAAGGTCTGTGCAAATGGATCCTCGCTATGGAACAGTATGACCGAGTGGCCAAAATCGTTGCTCCGAAGAAAGTCAAACTTGCTGAAGCTGAGAAGGAGTTGGCAGAGAATATGGCCGCATTGAAGGAAACCCAAGCTTCTCTCAAAGCCGTTGAAGACAAGCTTGCTAAGCTGCATGAAAATCTGGACAATACACAAGTATGCTTGGTCAGAATATTGAGTTCTCTATCGCTTCTTGATTCCACAATAATGTTGTGATCTTTCAGAGGGAAAAAAAGCGATTAGAAGATGAGGTGGAACTCTGCGGTTTGAAGTTGGTGCGAGCAAAGAAGCTGATTGGTGGGTTGGGTGGGGAGAAGGAGCGTTGGTCTCAGGCTGCAGAGCGGTTGCAGCATGTCTACGACAATCTTACCGGTGACGTTTTGGTCTCGGCGGGAGTGATTGCCTACCTCGGTCCATTTACTTCAACTTATCGTGATGCTTGCATTGAAGACTGGGTGGGCGTTTGCAACAGTCAGCCGAAAATTACTTGCAGTCCACACTTCTCGCTTACTAACTGTCTCGGAGATCCAGTTAAAATACAGGCTTGGAATATTTTTGGGCTTCCTCGAGATGCATTTTCCATTGACAATAGTGTCATTGTGGATAATGGAAGACGATGGTATGCTAGGCTTCCGTGTTCACTTTAATATTGGGTTTGAAATCTTCTGCGAATCAAAACTCAGATTTCCAAGTACAAACTCGGAGTTGCTTTAAGATCTACGTGATAACTTGTAAATCTAATGCCTAGCAAATTATTCTACAAGTGTACTCAACATTTCCATTCACTTTACCATCCTCTGTGGCCGAAAGCCTCTCCTCGACACTCAACAATTCAGTTTTTAATAGCAGAGTAGAATAATAAATGGCCATTGGGTCAATAACGGGTAAACTTATTCCTTTGCTTTAGCGCTAATTTGACTTCGTTCTGCTATTTCCTCGTTATTAAGGCCTCTGATGATAGACCCCGAAGGCCAAGCGAACAAGTGGATAAAGAACATGGAGAAGGAGAATGCAGTAGCTGTAGTCAAGTTGAATGACAGTGATTTCATGAGGCGAATGGAGAACAGTGTACAATTCGGAGTACCTGTCCTTCTAGAGAACGTCGGTGAAGAGCTGGATCCCAGTTTGGAGTCCCTCCTGTTGAAGCAGACGTTCAAGCAGGGTAAATGTAGGATCCATCTTGAACGGCCAGTCATATGGGGCCCCTTGTGGAGCTAAAGTCGAATCGTTTCTCTCAGAACCGAGCTTTCTGTGATGAGATCATAAGATGTGTTAGTCTGGCGGTATCTCAGCTGTGTACATTGGGCTTGAGGGGTATTATTAGACCTGGTTCTTAGTTCAAGCGCCTTTTTACTTTCTACTTGTTGCCACCCGCCTCATTCTTTTGCGCGCATTCAAAGTGAATTGCCTTGTAGTGTGAAGGCTCCTCATTCTATAAGGGGTCGAATTGGTGGTTCCAAACACTAATTGTTGTCATAGACGATTTGCATTTGTTGAGTACTGCTCATTCTTTGTCTACTGCTTAATTAAAAACAGTCACAGAGTTTTACCTCTCCTTTCGGCTACTGCGGTTTTACTCGCGTTCAGAATTCACAAATTTATTGTAGCTCTTTTTTTTGGCTGAATTCAACTTTTTCTTCTCCAACCCGATCTAACTTGGCTAATATGAAGAGGTGTAAACCGATCGCTATAATGTAGCAAAAAGGGGCAGAGCAAGCTATGGACGCTCTCGTCCATTTGGTAGCCCTAGGTGGAACTTTTAAGTACCTCGTTTTGTGCTTTGTGAGCTGAGTAGGGTGGATCTATTTGAGGGGAGCTACTGAATCCCCGGTTTAGTATCAAGTCGGCGGACAGTTGTCAAATTACTTCCAGAATAATGTTATCAACCCTTTAGCACTAGCATTCTCGAGCCATTTGTATACTTAATTTTCGTGTGCTATTATTCTATTCTCATTCTCGGTTTGAAGGCGCCGTTGATATGATAAAGTTGGGTGAAAATATAATCGAATACTCCTCGGACTTCCGCTTCTACATAACGACAAAACTTCGCAATCCGCACTACCTCCCAGAAGTGGCAGTGAAGGTCTCGTTGTTGAACTTCATGATCACGCCAGAGGGCCTGGAAGATCAGCTCCTCGGCATTGTGGTTGCAAAAGAGAAGTGCGTAGCTTAAAAACCTGCCTCATTCACCGTTAACTTTATGCATTGTAGGACAGTGATTTGTTGATTGTCAAGTACTCGCATGATAGGTAGATGGAACAGATGACAGTGGTGTTTCGAGAAGCCTATCCTCAAAATCCCGTTTTGGAAGTTCATAAAATCGGTTTTTTAGATCAATCGTTTAAAATTATTTCATACCCATAATTGATTTATTATATTTGATTAAATTCGGAGTTCCATGATTTCACAACGTTAATGGAAAATAGTGATCACGGCAGTTGTGGCGGTGGATTGGTCGTATCTCTCACATGGCTGTCTCTGGTCAACACGCTGTCTGTGAGACAAACCCACTTTGTTGGGCAAAGAATGACATGGAACCAAAATTTGAGGTGGATTGGGAGCTCAAAATTCTCCCTTCCAGAACCTTTGTTGAAACTTCTGCTGCAAGTGGGACACTCGACTTATTGAGCATGTTCGTTTGGCAGACATGATAACTTGTCCAGTAGACGGCCTGGGACCAGACTTAGGCAACCCTGTTTATCCAGCTGATTCGTAACCTGATTTTTAATGGGACGAAGTGAAAGTAGTAGACGTGAAGGTTTGCAAAGTTTGCCCCTCTGATGCCGTAATCGGTACCTCTGTTTTAATACCGAAAGCTAGTGACCTTTGACATAGATGGAGCTATGAACTCTCAGAACAAAGACAGATGGAAAGGGGATTGAACAGTCCACTTTGTACTACTTAGTAGACAACCAGTCTTACTTTTAAATCAAATCTGTCTTCTTCATCAAGACCGGAACTGGAGGAGGCGAGACAAGAGTTGATTGTCACAAGCGCTAATAATAAGCGAATGCTTAAGGAAGCCGAGGATCGTATTTTAGCTACTCTGGCCGAGGCGGAGGGCAATATCCTCGAGAATGAGACGGCTATCCAAACTCTCGACTCCTCGAAAGCTATCTCAGACGAAATTATGCAGAAACAAGCGGTATGTTGGTATTCCCATCCCCTGTACCGTAGTACAGATTTTAGGGAAGCTGTGCTTTTCCCTAAGGAACTCATTAATTTCTTTTCATTTTGTATCTGTTTGTGTTCTCCCAGGTAGCAGAGGAGACTCAAAAGAAGATAGATCTTGCCCGAATGGACTACTCTCCAATAGCACGGCATTCAGCGATTCTCTTCTCTTCCATTACTGATCTTCCTAACGTTGATCCCATGTATCAGTACTCACTGAATTGGTTTGTCAATTTATACGTCAATGCCATCCAAGACAGGTGAGTGGGCGGTTGATGGCAACTTTATATAATTAACTTCCATTTAAATGTCTCATGAGTTCCATTTTGGTTCTGTAAAAATTAGGGGTGACTGAACCCCACGAAAATTTTCTCGTATCTTTGTATAATGCAGCAACAAGTCGAAGATTTTGGAACGTCGACTGCGTTACATCCAAGAGTACTTTGATTACAAACTTTACTCAGAAGTGTGCCGAGGTCTCTTTGAAAAGCACAAGCTAGTCTTCTCGCTGGCTCTTTGTGCCAGAATTTGCATGTAAGCATCTCACAAAGCACACGCATGTATACAGGCACTGATGAGACTAGCTGCCGCACAAACCACGCACTTCTGTGACGTCTGTCTGCACTGCAACATGAGTTGCACGTTGTCTTCAGGCGCGCCTAAATTCAAAGGAAATTTGTATTAAAGCGACTGGACCGGATCGCCAGTGACTTGATGAATCAGAAGTGTTGTTCAGTATTTTTTAACGCCTCCCTATAACCTACAACAGGTTTCCTAATTCTGCCATCAAAAATACGGATTTAATACCCTGTGGAGGGACATAAAAGAGGCATCTAAAAAAAATAGCTTTTCTTTTGGACGATCCATCCCATTTATCGTCAGTTATTTTTCGTACCTGATGTTTAGATTTGTTAATTCGTGACTTTGTTGCCTGCAGGTTGTTAATTACGAATTCAAGAACATAAAATACTGTCAAATAAAAACTTGCACTGAGTCGTGGTGAAGTGGCTTGGGTAGTAGTAGCCACAAAACTGCAATAGTAGAGGATTGGATGTTGAGTGATCGTGGGTACACTAGGCTGCTGCAATATTTACTTTGTTGTAAATTGATCTCCTCTCCTTTCCTACGCTCTTTCTGACACAACAGCAACAAGTCGAAAATAGTGGAGAAGCGCATCCGCTACCTCATCGACTACTTCACCTACAGTCTCTACGTGAGCGTTTGTCGATCGGTGTTTGAGAAGCACAAACTCCTCTTCTCCCTCCTTCTCTGTTGTAAACTCATGATGTGAGGCTCCGTTGCGTTTGGGAGCGCTTTTTCGTACTCCCTATGCTGGTTTATACTCTTCTCTCTGGCACCTCGTTGGTGCAGTGCGGATGCTGGCGAGACTGTGGTGCTCCATGTCCCTTTTGGTTCATGTTATTTTTCGGCCACAACTTCATCAATCTGACAAGTTGGCAACGTTGGTTTTTTGCTTTTCGTTTTGCAATGTTAGTTTTGTCTCTTTTCCACAAATGCATAGTAATTTTTTTCTTTTTTTGAACAGGAATTATGTGAACATTTACCATTGCATATTAAACAACGATTCATCTTTTCTCAAATCTAGAATAATCCCTATTTTGGTTCTCGATTTGCTCAATAAAAGATGTTAAAAGGGGACGTAAACATCCGAACTAGTGCACATGCTTGATGCGCCAGCGTCGGAAAACAGGAATGGAAATTCTTAAAGGCGAAATCTTGTGCAATCACTTGAATATCACTTTCTGCTGCCCAATCGAAATGCCTTATTTGGTCTTTAGAGTAGTGAAGAAATGCAAAAATGTCCGGTCATTCCGCAGAGAAATTGGATTTAACACATTTTAAGCCTTTGTTTGTTTGGTTGCCAGGGGTGACATTTCTCGAGCACCATTGTCTTCATGCAGTACGTTTTAGTCCTCACCCGACGGGTCTTGCAAAACCATGTCAGCAGATAAAAAGGAAATGCATTGCCTTGACTAAAGCTGTAACTTGGATTTCCGTCACCTTCGAGCCAAAGCCAAGTATTTTAGGTGTCACTCATTGTTTTTAATTGAGGTTGCAAAGCTCACTTATTGATGCGTTGCATTTAGGCTTTCTTGTTACACGGCGCCGTGTAAAAGTATGCCGTCTTGCTCACTGCTTGCAGCCGCTCTTTCCCAGGCCTTCAGATATTGCATTACTGCTGTTCATTTGCACTATTTTTTACCCCTCATTCTTGCATCGCTGTGCTATGGCATAAAATTACAAAAGTGTAGTCGAATTCTCATTCTGCTTTTTTCCAAATTTCTCTCGTAGCGCCAAAGAGGAGATCCATCTCAATGAATTCCTCTTCTTCCTTACTGGTGGTGTGGGTCTAGAAAATGCCGTACCTAACCCGGCCCCTCAGTGGCTCATCTCAACCAGTTGGGACGAAATCTGCCGTCTCTCTGACCTTTCAGCCTTTGCGGGTCTTAAGGAGCACGTGGCGGCGAACACTCGTGAATGGCAGAAGTTTTACGATTCCAAGACGCCTCATAGCACACCTCTACCGGCGCCATGGAATAACCTTTTAGATCAATTTCGAACACTCATCGTTCTGCGATGCATTAGACCAGACAAGGTGAATAAGTTGAGTCTTCTACTGATGAGAAGTTTTTTTCATTCAAATCGACCTTGCCGAGGCATTGGACTGCAAACTGACGACCCAAGAATCAGGATTTTTGCTGGATTATAAAACATATTCAAGTCCTCGCCCGCGTTGTTATGTTATTATTTTGCTCTCTATGACTTAAAATGGGAGTTGGGATAATACTCAGGAAGGCTGTTGAGTTTGATGGCATTGATTGTCTCCAGACGTCTTTTAAAGAGGTGTTACACTTATTCCCTCATACCCCTCGAAACTGAAAGACGGAGGTGTTACTATCATGGAAAATTAGTAAGTAGATTTGATTTGATCAAGACCAAAAAATCACTCTGCAGAAGGGTCATAATGTATTGTTCCTCATGCAGCTAAAATGCCTTTTGAGAAGATACCCATTCCAGAATGAGGTGTGGCACGGGGAGATGCCGCTTTCCCAGTATCGCACTCCTCATACCCGTCTAAGAATGTTTCGCCATGCGAGATGGATATCTCCTTTTCTCGGTGCTAAGCTCTTGTATTACTTGTACACCGCATAGGCAACAGGTTGCTGAGAGCGGTTCCGTCCTTAAAGTTGATTTCCCCAAAAGATATTGTGTAATTCAGTTGTGTGTAAAAGTGTGGTCATTTGTAGCACACGATGACCTTTAATCGGAATGCCCTTACACATTTTGTCTTTATAGTTGACTTTGAATGCCTCATGACCTTGTGCATCGTGCGTTGCATGAGTTTTTTGTATATTCTAATAGCATTGTGTCTTGAAAACAAGCTACGTTTTCAATCCGTTCATGGTACGTTTTTGCCTTCTAAGGAGGCAAATTGGCAAATGATGCCCCAACAAGTTCACTTGCTACTTGGCTCACTCAAAATCCAGGGCTTTGGCTGAATTCTTGTATGCCAATAAACATTATAGGCCTCACTAGATTGTTGACATTTACCAGAACACTAAAAATTCGAGGCCTTATGAAGCTCATCCAGTTCTGGGGACGCTAGTGCTGATACTATTTTATCAGTTACAGCTTCACGTCGGACAAGATCATTGCAAATATCGTTTTCAAATACTTAAATATTCATCTATCTTAGCCCGTTTGTTGATGTAGCTACGATTACCCAAAAAGTACTAGTTTGAATATCGTATAGTAATTAGTTTAGGCCCTATCGTTACTGTTAAAAAAGAAGTTCTTGCACTCTAGGTCGTATCCGCAGTGACCAACTACGTGCGCGATAAACTGGGCAAGAAGTTTGTCGAACCACCCCAATTTGATTTGGCAAAAAGCTATGAGGACTCAACATCTACTGCACCCCTCATTTTCGTTCTATCTCCGGGCGCCGATCCAACCATGGCGTTGCTCAGATTTGCTCACGACAAGGGCTTCGGAGGCACACGCTTCCAATCCATCAGTCTGGGTCAAGGTCAGGGTCCCATAGCCGCAAAGATGATCGAACGAGCACAAGCAGATGGGTCATGGGTACTGCTCCAAAACTGCCATCTAGCAGTCAGTTGGATGACAAGTATGGAGAAGATTTGTGAGGAATTCACTGTGGATAACACTGCTCCGACCTTTCGTCTATGGCTCACTAGCTATCCCTCTCCCAGTGTAAGCATCTAGCTGCCGACTCAAATGCCTGTTAACTGTTTTCGTTTGATGAATCAACACTATGCAGATCATGTGAAATGAAATCCTCCATCCAGCAGTATCTTAATTTTTCGTCGTAATATATGGTCATTTTTGTGGTTTCACCTTAGAGGTAGCGGTAAACTTAGTTGCTGTGCTATTTTGACCGTTTTAGTTCCCAGTGACAGTTCTGCAGAACGGTGTTAAGATCACAAATGAACCGCCGTCGGGACTTCGGCAAAATCTTCTTCAATCCTACCTGAGTGACCCCCTCTCTGACCCAAACTTCTTCTACGGTTGCCCTAACAATGAGGCAGTGGGTCTCCTGGTTGTCCTCTTTTTAATTCACTCAACTTGATCCATTCACATAACAGCGTAAAACACTGGTGGGTGTGATATAGGGATGTCAGTATCATTAAACATTGCTCCTCTTTCAAGCAAATAACAGATGACCTCTTTTTACACACTGAATTGTCAAAATTAGTCAACCTGGGAATTACTTGTTGTGTAGACATTTGAGAAGCTAGTCTACGGTCTCTGCTTCTTTCACGCGTTGGTACAAGAGCGCCGTCACTTCGGTCCAATTGGCTGGAATATCCCCTATGGCTTTAATGAATCCGATTTGCACATCTCTGTACGGCAACTACAAATATTCATCAATGAATATGAACAAGTGAGTTTTTTATTTGCAATCTTGTTTAATCAAGTGAAAGGCGCGTCAGTTTGCCCCATTTCGTGGTTATCATTAAATGAATTTTGACTGTCCTCAAAATTGCCTACTGACAATTCACTGGTCTAAGGCATTTCAACCCTTCAGATAGCAAATCCACCCGCAAGTCATACGACCAAATCTTTTGTTCGCCGTGTAGGTACCATTCGATGCAATCAATTACCTTACGGGTGAATGCAACTATGGAGGCCGAGTGACTGACGAAAGGGATCGACGATGTCTTTTGACCATTCTCCTCGACTTCTATTGCCCTGCACTGATTACGGAGGTCAAATATAAACTACCCACTAATCCCAATTACTTCATTCCACCAAAAATGGAATATCATGAGTACATAGAATTTATCAAAGTAAGTGACAAACTTTAAATTTGTGTTTGGAGCACAAGCTTTGCTCTATGGTCTCTGATGTATCATGGTAACTATGATATCTAAACTTCAAGGTTTATCGTACCATTTGTGATTGCTTACAGAATCTGCCATCAGTGCAGACTCCTGAGGTATTTGGACTGCACGAGAACGTGGACATAATGCGTCAGCACTCAGAGACGAAAGCGCTGCTTGCAGCCACCCTCCTAACAGTCACCAGCATTGGTGGCGGTGGTGGTGGTGGTCAGAGCGCGACCAGCAGTAGCGACAGCCAGCTCAACGACATCGCTTCGGATATCATCAGCAAATTGCCGCTGCCATTTGACATTGATACTGCGTCCAAACGATATCCTCTGGTATACCAAGAGAGCATGAACACAGTTTTGGTGCAGGAAATGGAGCGCTATAACAAGTAAGTCTGTCATGCACTATAAGTCTTTAACAAGTCACATCCACAAGACAGCAGACTGTGGCTTTGTGCATCCACCTTTGAGCGTGATTTCAGCCCTGTTTCAGGGCCAATAAAGCAACTTCACACGCTTCATACCTACGAGATGGTGGAAGCCATTATTTGTACATTTCCCAAGCACTAACCCATTAATAAAAAAATTTTGTACCTTCCTTTTTGCATTTGCAGCCTTACACTAACGATTCGTCAAAGCCTACTGAATTTGCAGAAGGCTCTCAATGGTTTGGAGGTGATGTCGGCAGAGTTGGAGCAGTTAGTGGCCTCCCTCTTGGTTGGCCGAATTCCAAATGCGTGGGCAGCCCGATCCTATCCCAGTCTGAAGCCTCTTGGCAGCTACATCATTGATCTCTACGAACGCCTCGCATTTTTCCAGGTTCCTAAATTGTATAGTCCTAGCAAACGAATTAAGGAGGTTGTAAATTTGAAATCATTTAGTTATACCTCCTATGAGCAAAATTGCATTGTTTACAGTTCCCATGAGAGGCAGTTTATTGGCTTAAATCAGAATGAAAAGTCCGCATTCGTTCGGTTTATTCCACCAAAATCTTGATGAAAGCGCTCTCCATTCCATTTCAGCGCTGGTACGAAAACTCCAAACCACCGACATTTTGGATATCCGGTTTTTTCTTCACTCAGGCCTTCCTAACGGGCGTGCTGCAGAACTACGCCCGTCAACACACCATTCCAATTGATCTCCTTGTTTTCGACTTTGATGTTCAACCCGTTTTGAGTATTGAGACACCACCCAAAGAAGGCACCTACATCAATGGTCTCTTCGCGGATGGATTTCGTTGGGACTACGACAGGTAAATGCGTGAATTAAATTTGCTTGTCAAATGCTTTCGTTGCTTAGTCAAGGAAATCCGTGGCATCCGAATAAGCAGTCCGTAATTCTTTATGTAGTTCAATTGCAGTAAAAAATCAATTAATTAATTAATTAGTTGTCATCATCAGTATGTTTGAGATAATCCAGTTCTTATGAGCACTTTGTAGGCGCAAAACATCTGCCTTTGCCTTAACGTTTTCATATATGTTTGTCTGCGTCTTTGGAAAGGAAAGCGTCATTACTTTGTTAGAAAAGAACCACAACGTTGCCATTTCCCATTTCCTTCATTCACAAAAAATGCACTTCTTCGAGGGTAAAATGGTTGAACAATCTTGCGGAAGTTGAGGCAGAATGAATGGATGACCATCAGTAGGTTTTAGGCGGAATGGTTAATGCTATTACTCCAGTTAGGCGGGGGGGCATCGCAACCTCTCTATGACGATCCCAGGAAGGTGGAAGTCTTGCCAACAGGGCTAAAATGCATTTACAGTTTATTTTATGGAATTTTATGTTCCCATCCTTTTTAACACATTCGAGAGACGGGTATGTATCCTTGTCTGCTTGAACAATTATCTCGAGGGCGATACTGAGGCTGGGAATCGTGACCACCCGTTATCTAGATGACCGGTATTCAAGGTTTATGTTTCGAGGTCTTCGAAATCCTGAGTCTAAGGCCAACTCTCGCCCACTTTTCTCGGCTGACTCGACCGGCTAGGTTGGAATTGGGTGCCAAAGCACCTGGCTCCTTAATAGTCAGCGATATTTGCCAAAGGTTTCCTTCGGTCTTTCAATTCTAATCTGAGTATTTAACCTGAAAAGACAGGGTCCACATATTTTCATGCCTCAATTCAATACATACGGTGCAAAAGGACCTGTTGGAAGGCATTGTAGCTCCTAGTGCTGCAGTTAAGGAGCCCACCCGATCGTTTGAAGTTGCCTCACAAGCACCAGTGCCACTGTTTGCACTTCAGGCCATAAAGGCATCGCTGACTGCTCCAATTCAACTGGCTGTCTTTCAGACAACTCGGAATATCTAGCAACAAGTAATAGTCAGTAGTCCTTGCACAACCTCAAGCTTACCTGTACACTGTGGTGTCGTTCCTGTTCGTGAAACTACGACGGATGAATAACTGCATCTTAAAGGGTTAAGCCAAACGATTTTCACTTGGATTATGAAAAGTCCAACTTTATCTTTAATGTGTTTGGTGTCCACTCCGACTCAAAGAACATCAAGAGGAATTTGTGAAGTTTATTTCCGACTTGCGTTCTCAATTGTTTTGTCCATTTTGTCGCCTCTGCACAATGCCTACGTCTCAATGGGCATCTTTTTTATAACTAACTTCTCCTTCAATTTGTTTAAAGAAACACGAAATCACATTGCTTTTCGGTTGAAGTGAGCATTGAGCTCGAAACTCCTGCTGATTCATCATAATCTGTAGCTGTCAATCATTGTAGCTGTAGAAGCCTTTACTTACGCTATAGGGAACTGTTACTCTAAGGATTCCCAAATGGATCCAGGAGAACTGAAGGCTGCTACTCCTCATTCTTGGTTCAGGAAATGGCACCCCTACACATTCAAACTAGTTCCAACACTAAGAGCATTAGTCAATGAAGTATTGAGAATTGCTACATTTCATTGATTCGCTTGAATGCCTTTGTGCCTCCACTTCTTTTGGCCAGAAAAAGAGGTCAGAACAGAGAGCGGTTTTAGCGACTACCGAAGTGACGAAAGGTTTTAGCGACTCACCTCCTTCCCTCAAGTAAATGTCGAATTCACTTGTAATGAGGCCGAACATTCATCTACTATCAAAGACGACAAAAGTGACATTCCTTGTGATTGTGTTAATTAACCCTTTCAAATAACATCTACAATAACCTGGAAAAGACTGAAATACAACAATCAATTAGTCTGAAAAGGGTCCAAACTGTTAAGAAACAGCACAAAAGTGTAATCAAGTAATGTTTTGTTGTGCGCTTTACAGTGGATAAATGTGTGACTACTAAAGGAAGTCTTTCCTTTCGGCATCTAGGATGAAAGTGGGCGACCAGTTGCCCAAGGTTCTGAACGAGGTTTTTCCGGCGATCCACCTTCTACCTGTGCCAAAGAACAAAAGCAAGATGTCAACTATGGAGGACAGTAGCTGCTGCTTCTACATGTGCCCAGTGTATAAGACAAGTGAGCGTCGTGGTGTCCTCTCTACCACTGGTCACTCAACCAACTTTGTCCTACCCATTTACCTGCCCAGCGACGAGCACGAGAGCTTCTGGATCAAACGCGGGGCTGCATTGCTCTGCCAACTGGACAACTAAACTGTTGAACTTTGGTAGCTAGTTCGAATACACTTGCACTCGCCCATTAACACCCTGGAGCAATATCCACTAGAATGGGTAATTAGCTGAGTGGTTTAAGGTACAAAAGAGAATACATGTAGTGACTTGCATGTGATGCCGGTGAATGACGCCCTAGCTAAAGCACCTGAAGCACCGACAATGGTGACACGTATGCACACGCAGGGAAAAGTAGGCATACAGAAATAGAATAATCCTTGAACACCGTTGGTTTACCGAAAAAAAATCAAAAGTTACACCAGGCTTGACAATAAGGTGTGGGTCAACAACGGATCCCTTCTGCAATTACTACCGATTACGGGACAATTTGATAGCTTAGTTGCTATTTGTCGTTAAATACACAAACATCTTCGAAAGCAGATGTGTGAGATGCGTGTGTGGAGGTGAGATTCTCATCAACTTCAGGCACTTGTCCATGCAATGGATCTGCAAAAGTTTGTAAGCACCAGCACCAGATAGTATCAAGATTGTGGACTTTAAGCACGGCATGTTTTTCAGTAGCATGCACAAAGCGGTTTTGCAGTTCAAGTTACAGAGCAGTGCAGTTCCATTTGCTCTTGAGAGAAGGCACGAGAGTATGTACAAGGAAAATAAAGTGAGGGGGCACTGCTTACATTCCATGGGTCACGTACCTTAGTAGTTGCCGTCTTCTAAAAAGGCTGGAAAGAAGGGCGTGTTCATGTAGGGTTCGAAGTGCATCTACAATTGGAGCGATTTAAGTGCTGTAATTAGCAGGATGTCATAGAGACGTCTGAGTACAAGGATTTGACTAGCACAAGTTTCATAATGCGCAAAAGGAGGCACAAACTAACCCTCATGTAGGCGGCAAACTCATCGTGGCGACTGAGAAAGGGAAAGTGTCCTCCGGTGTCTATGCTGGCGACCTTGGCCTCGGGGTAGGCCCTATGCACGCCCTCGTAGAGCCTTTTGTACGTCGTGTCTAGATCACCAACCTGAACAGGGGTGAATGGGCAAACCATAATACGGTAACGTATCACAGGAGCTACGGTATTGGGGATAAACAGTAGCCCAACTGAACCTTGTTTCACCACTTCCTTCAGCATGAATCGCTTACGATTTTCTGTCCCCTCATGAAGCACAACAAGAAATCCTATTGTTGCTTGTCTCGGTACTGTATCAAGATGTGTACCAAGGATGACAACTGCATCTTGCTCTTTGTAAGTAACACCTGAGAGAAGAACATGCTGTCCATATGAAGTAGAGATTGGTTACACTTCCACCATAAATTTGACTATGCAATGGCACCCACCAGTGCTGATCAAGGCTTGCGTGAACTGAAAGGCTTCTGCAGTAAAATTCCAAATGCTTGAAGATAAGCACATCACCTTACACTTCTGAATAAACGGCTTCAGAAAAGTTGAGTCAAATAAGCCCCACAAAATTGAAATGGTTCATGCGACCCTATTTAAATAATTATGGTTGCTGAAAAGAATCTGTTTTGGACACAACAGTTTGAACTCGTTTCTTTGTAGGGAAAAGGGGAAACCGCTGACCCATAGCTGTCTTTTCTCATCTAGTTATCAATCTATCAATACAGCCGCTAATTGACGTATCTGCTTCTGCTTATTGACTGCAACTCTCGTTGTCCGCTATTAATGCCTAAGTTGCCAAGCCACTCATCTTTCACAATAGTTGGTATAACAGAGTTAGTTGGGCCTTCTGAATTAAACTTAAGAAGGAACTGCTGAGACCATCTTTCAGCTGAATTAATGGACATGTAAATAAAAGAGTTGATTAAAATTCAAAATAATAATAAAGGCAACATTTTAGTCAGACGGCACTCAAAAGTGAGCACTCTCTTGTCTAATAAACAGATCTGTCTTTAACTGGATAGAACAAAAATGGGAGGATGCTAAGGTTTCAAAACTCACCTCAACGATGGTGATATCAGCGTCTCGCAATTTTTCTACTGCAACCTTATCTGTCGTGCAGGCCATTGTGAGTCGAGATGCCAATTCAGATTGAGACATTTTAAATGTCTGAAGAGGAAAGGAGAGAAGCATGATCACTTTCTGCTCTGTCTCATAGCTATTGGATTGAAAGAGGCAATTACTAGACAATCAAATCGACTAATGAAACGCAGAGCTAAGTTTGTCCCGGCTCATCTGCGCTGATAACTACTACCCGAAAAAAAGTACTGTTAACGGGAAGTAATAGCCACATTTCCACCGACAGTTTACCATGAAGAAGGGCTCTGTCGTTTATTTCTCCCCCAATTTGGGCAAAAAGTCGATTTTTGGTGTCACGTTTGCTGATGATTGCCATAAAAGCAATAAAGTATTTTAATTGCCACAGTTTGATGTTGACCAACATGTCCTCGAACATTCTTTCGACAATAAAGTAGTTCACATTTCAAGACGGGCTAGGTTGTGCGACCGATAATCTCAGTTCTTGGATTATGCAGACAGGTGAAAAACGATAGTTATTAACCTGCTGTTTCGCCAGGTCGACTGAAGTCTTGATATATTCATCAGCATCAGTGGGAACGGAGGGGTACTCGAAGGTCATCCTCAGCATGGATACCGGTAACATCCAAAACCTAAGACATGGCACGAATATTGTGCGATTCGCAGAACAAGTTGAAAATGCAAATAAAAATTAACAGGTCTTATAGAAAGAAATGGTAGAGACAGAGGTTAATCAGCCGGTAAAATGCAGGCGAAATGAAAGACTTGCAGTTTCGACGAAAATCGCGATTCAAAAGAGTAGGTGTCGATGAATGTATTGCAGAGAATCAGAGATTTGACGCAAGCACTAGGTTTTCCAGAAAGTTCGTAGAACTTCTGCGCAAGAAAACCACCAAGGGAAGAACCGACGAGATGAACAGCTACTACATGCAATTCATCAAGCAGTTTGAGAAGAACATCACAGAAAGCACGTGCATTATATGTTTCCGGATAATCGATCTAGAGATGACCAAAAAAGCCATTGTACCGATATTATTCGAAAGCCTTCTTTCGACAGAAGTAGTTGGACTTTGTAGTATATTGACGCATCGCATGTTGTAGGCGGCAAGCAAATTATTGGGCAAGAAATGTCCTTCGGGCCTGTCTCATAGAAATCAACAGTGTATTTGTTTATTTTCAACTGCCGGAGAATAAATTAGCAAACGATTGCTACCGATTTAAAAGAAGACTCCTTAAACTTTTCATAGTCAAATACATCCGATTTCTCCATTCGAACGCACCCACACCGCTGGGAAAAGGGACAAATAACTTCGACAGTGCGCGCAAAACTCAAGGTCCGAGCATTGCGTGGGTAGATAAACCTAATAAGAAATTTGAATTATTTGCTAAAATTTTAATAATTTTACTTAAATTTGAGTAATCGCAATTAGACAGAAAACAGGTTACAGAGGTATACAAATACTATTTTGTAACGCTACAGAAGGGATATAAGCTATTGCAAACGCTTAGCTGCTACTCGTGTTTGCATTTTTTAAACTGATTTGAGCACAATATTAGCACAATTATGACCTGAATAGCGTTACGCTAGGATACATTTTAAGGGGAAATGCATAAACCCTTTTCAAATATATTTTGAGGTAGATTATCCATTTACTCATTACGCACAAATGACTGGGGCCATTCTACACAGTAGAGTCACGACCTACTGTAAAATTAATTAAAAGTAATTTTACAAATTAGTGGATATGGTACGCGCGTTATACAGTTTGCCTCATACGATGTTAACGGCTGTATGGCATCTGAGCGGTTGTCTGCATTCACTGTCTGGTGTTTTTAAACTCATTTTAACGATATTTTCAATTCCTCAAATCTCATATTCGTGATATTGGATCCAGCCCTGTGTCATGAAGGTGTCAGATCAGGTTTCAAAAATATTTTTTCATCATGGATTATTTTGCTCCACTCGACCGCTGCCAACTATTCTGACCGTTATTTGTATTTTTATTTTCTTTTGGTAAATATCCAAGTGTGATTGAGTCTCTTCTAGTTATCCTTTACGAAACATCAGCATTTCGCGTGATGTTCCATTTGAAGCTATCCCCCTATCGGAGTCAAAATGCAAGTCGCTTTTATCCACACCGAGTCTCCAAGTATGCATATGGAACGTTTTAAACATTTTCTGCCTTTTTTAGAAAATCTCGAACGATGAATTTAACTTTACCTTTGTTGCTCAAATCATCTTTCGATCTGCTATTTCACCTCAGCATTCTGATGTCACTTATATGGATGGCTTGCGTTGCAACCTGAATGCCAGCTTCAGAATTACTGATATTGTACAGTCCACTGCGTTTTCGGCTGAACCGACATCAAATTGTACTAGCATGTTCGGCGAACAAAAACTCGACTCTATATGCGTGAGAGTATGTTGTTCTTTCTACTCGTTACTCTCCTTCTTTGATCATACTTAGTCTCTAAATTTGTGCCCAGATGAAGGATTTGCTTGCTAGCCTAAACTCAGATGCCATCAACCTGGCCACGACCAAAAGTCCAACGTCGCGGATTCTCAGTCTCCCTAGACCTTCACTTCCTTTTGCCAGTTGCGCTATTCTCTCACCAAGTCTTATCTGGGGTAATGAATGGACTCTTTTTCACCTGGATGACATCGATCTCGTGGAGCGGCTAAATCTAAATGAAGTACAAGACCTCTTAGATGTCCTTTTTGGTCTACCACGACGCCATCTTGGCATGTTCAAAATGCAGTTTCGGAACTTGCCTGTGGTAAACGCTTTTGCTACCACCATTGTGCTTCGAGGTTTCTATCCTGAGTAAGTCTAATTGACTGGATAGAATTTTAACAACTGTGTTTTAATGTAACATTATGCTGGTTCATGATTTCGGCGAATTACTTTTGGCCTTTAGGTGGTAGGAAATGTCAGCAATGTTGTAAATTAACTCTGATACCATAGCATCAGTTCCCAAACCATTACATCGGTACCTGAAGACCATCAAAATCCAATGGATTGGTTATAAGTTGTTCGCTTTCCTTCTGCTGTCATCGGTTTCCTCTCTGATCTTTACTTTATCTCTCAAAAATGCTAATATTTAGGAGCGATGTATTCACTTTTGTGGGGGTTATTTCCTTACTGATTTGAAAGTCGTATTATTTAACTCCATCCATTTCTGTCCCGGCTCTCTTGGTGCAGCTACTTAGTATAAAGTTGCAGCTGGCTTTGTTGCGTTTTCAATACTGATGTATTTTTTCAAAAGTAACAGCTCAATACAATTCGAAAGATGGATGATAAACTTTATTGACATTCGGCTAGCTTCGTCGCTTGGTAAGGGTGTTTGACATTTGCTCCCTTCGAGCTCAAATGCAAATTTAGCAAATGTCCTTTTCATTCTCTGCGGATTACCAGGCTTCTACTACCTTGTTATGATCCCTATTTTTCTCGTTTTGGTCCCTTCCATGTTACTCCTTTTCCGTGTCATGGACAGTAGATTTTGATGATCATCTTTAACAGAACCTTACCGCATTTTAGGTCATCGCTGGGTGCCTCAATCTTTGCATTCATTTAGCTTTGATTTTGATGCGCTGGATTTACGTGCGGTTTGCGTCAGCTTAGTCCACCTCCCATAATTTCATTACTTATCTGATTTCGATGTAATTTTTGAATTGTATGGCAAGCTTTAACAATGTCGATTGTGTGCCCTTTTCTACTCACTATTTTGAGCCGTGAATTATATTGACATTGGGTATCATCTTTTGTGACCAGTTTGTCTGTGGATCATTGGGATTCAGTTTGGATGTAGTGTTTGTACATAAATGAGTCGACTAATGCACGCCCACCTCTGTTTGTAATAGACCCTAGTAATATTTGACTCCTTGAATAATGAAATCGGGCTCTTTTAGTAAGCCTAGCATTCATTTCATTAGTTTTACCAGACTATTAATTCTTTAGACTGATTTCTAATGGTTGAAATTTATTTGTCTCGCTTTTGGAATAAAAGGTTGGACCATTTTTAAAAGGAAATTTTGGGTTTTTATGAATTCATTTCGACTTTATTGGTGATTCCGTCCCATTTTAACTTCATAACCTCCCTTATCCTGCTTTCTGAAAAAAATTGGTTCTTAGTTTTTCTAGAGTTAGAAGGAGCTTTATTGACGCCCGCGAACTATCGTTATTTTGAGTCTTAGTCTTATTAGATTCACGGAAATTGGTTGTTTCCTATCCATTGCATCCTGCTGTAACTGAATTGTCCACCGTCATCAGTCTCTTACTTTGTTTGTAATTTCAATGTGCACAACCCCAAAATATGTTACTTTTATGTCTGCTAATTGCCAAAACTTTAGTATGTTTGCCACTGAATTCGTTTACTACATCCCGTCTAAGAGCACGCTGTTCCTTGGTTGGTTGGTTGGTTGACTACTTCAACAGAACGAGCTTTCCGGTATTTGGTTGGTCAAATTCTTTGGCCGTGCTTTCTGCGTGTCCTTGCTATTTCAATGCCAGAATTTTGCTCGCCTCGCTCTATTACTTGTACCTTATGTGGTCGTTATCACAAAGCTCTGAAACCTCCGACCATAGGTACATCCACAGACTTCGTGAACGACTGATGGAGACCTTTCCGGACTCGCGGTTTGTTGGGAATGGCAACGAAGAAATAAGTCAGGGTTACCACTCAAATTCCCACCTAAAGAACCCAGAACCCCGTGTCTTCGTGGTGCACTACCGTGGTCACAACTACCTCGTCCAATACGCTCCTGCCTTTGCTGTCTACACATTTCTCGTACTCTATATCTGGTTTTCTGTCAGTATGTTTTACGCACTACATTCCACTGCGTAGCCACTTTCATTGTCTGCATTGTTTATTTTTTGTTCATGAACTCGCATTGTTTTCGCATGCTTCCTGTGTTGATATCAATATCTGCCTTACATTTCAGGAATTATTAATATTTTAATGTTGGTCATTTAAATGCATTTATCGGTCCTTTGTATTGCCTCAAAAACTAGTTCCTCTTATCTGATCCCTACTCTGCATACATAGCTTCAGCTGTTTTACTGTTGCTTCCCCGGTATTTTGGACATCATCTCCACGTCATCTTCTGTCTGCTTAATAATTGCATCAATGTCGACAGTTTATAATGGCTGCTTATGGCTTTACATAGACTTGTCTAGCCTGTCTTGAGAAATCCCCTGCTTTTGTCATACACTAGCCTTTTGTGAAATCGGTTTCATCCCTGCTATTTAGGCAAAATTGACATGGTCAAATCGAAATTTGGACTGGCTGTCTGCGCTTGTTTCACTATTTTCGCGTCTTTTGTAATGACTCTTAGTCTGTGTGCCACTCTCGGCTTGATGTCTCCAGCACTTCGAGGCAGGTGAGCATCACAAAATTAAGTCATCTTGACTGTCCCGCCACAATTCGTTTTCTTGAAGTTTGTATTAGTGTACAAGAGTTGTGGAATGGAATCTTCAACATTTATTTTCAATTGTCTGATCACTTTGCTCCATAACTTGCATTCCCTTCACTTTTCAGGGAATTCTTTCCCTATCTCGTGGTGCTAATCGGTTTTGAGAACATTCTTGTCACCATAAAGGCCGTGGTCGGCACTCCGATCGACCTACCTGTGAAGTACCGCGTTGCTCAAGGTGTCGTGGTTTCCCTTTTTTCCGTTGTCTCTCAGATCCCCTTTTGACTATATTCATTCTTTCTCCTAGGTCTGGCCAAAGAAGGATGGCCGATGACCAAGAACCTTCTCTGTGCCTTTTTTTGCACCGCTCTCGGCTTTCTCACCTTTGATTCGGCTATTCAGGAATTCTGTCTTATCGCTATCATCAGCTTCACCACTGATTTTTTTCTTCAAATGTTCTTCTTCGTGCCCGTCCTTGCTATCGACATTCGTCGCATGGAGGTTCGGATCTTGTCTCCCATTTTCATCCCGAATGTTCATCCGTTGTTTTGTTTCAGCTCTCAGATTTGCGACAGCATGCATCACCATCGTCTATTCCGCCTCTTTATGGAATTGAAAAGACAGTTAGCACTGGATTTTGTAATCACAGTCCAGTAGTCGCTCGTCTCCGGGACGCAGTTCCACCACTGGAGTATCATCGCCGCTCCATGTCCCCTATTCCACAAAATTGTCAGAATTTTACAGGTCACAGACGCGTTCGTTCCGGTAAGTAAGCCATTAATTGACTGGTTGACGAGGTAGGGCCCTTGGTGAATTTTAACCCCAACTGTCTATTTCAGATGCATCGACCACGGCATTCATGTCAGCGAGGAACACATCAGCTGCTTGTGTATCATTTCGAAGACGATTTTGCGCCTTCTGGACCAACCGTCGGGTTTTTCAGCATTTTGGAATGGTTAGTCATCTTGAAAGATGTCGTAAGTTGTTAAAATAAAGGTAACTAGTACTCGAAATTCTTTTTAACCTTCCCTTATAAGTGCTGCCTATGCTGTTAAGTAATTAAAGTTTCCGCGGTTCTTCATAGGCTGCTCTTTGTTACCTTCCTGCTTACAGGATCCAGTCGACTGCATGTCATCATCCGTGCACATTTTGTCTTTTTTTGGTGCTTTCTTTATGTTCCGAACTCTTATTTTAAAGCATGGCTGAAAAGAGGTGGATGTTTTTCGAATCCGTCTGTTTTACAAAATGAATTGTATTCGATACGGTTGATTGGTTGATGCATTGTGAGGCCTAAGTTTTGTATTATAACGTCAAGTCACTGGTGCGTTATTGGTTAGCATTTCTGCTTTTTGGGTCATTGATGGCAGATTTTCTACTGCATTTTCGTTCTCCTCTCAAGGATCACACAATTGCTTTTGACACCAAATCTGTTCGAAATAAATTGCGAATCTGGAAAGAAAACTTCTTTATTAACAGCTAAGACTCGTGGATCGGTTACTGAAAAGCAGTTATACTAAAAGACAACACAGTCTGTAATTCTCCTATGGAGATGTTTGTGCGTTAGACCGAGAGAGATGTGCAACTTTAACCTCCTCAGATTGTCGAAAGTACTTTTCCATGTCTCGTTTGCTAGCTTTTCTTGGCATCAGGCGATCGCGTGATCGCATTCCAAACAGGCAATAAACAGGTTGAAAGCAAAACCTAGATGTCAAAGTATGTTGGCATATATTTAAGAGATTGCATTATTCTTGTAGGCCGTTAAAAATGGTTGGAGATTACATTGGTGTTTATTATTTGTGATTAACGTAGTCACGAGGCACCTCGATCTAACTTCATTAAAGCCGCAAACATTTTGCCCTCTCGCTTTATATAACCACTGTATTTTGCAGAGCAGTATTCTCTCGACAGCAATTATTTGACTTTAAGTTAATTTTGCTGTCGAATAGCATGCTTAATTTGAACACCCTGGTTTCCAAAGAAGTCTAGGTATGAGGTCTATAATACGTGTACAAGAGCCAAAGTACAGTTTGGAGAATTTTTAGGTCGATATTGTATAGGCAAGATTAGGATAATGCATGAACTTTGAAACCTTTTTTTGTTCTTGACGTGTTTTGAACCACTTTTAGGCTATAGTTCTGATCTGGTTGATGGTCGTCCTCTGCTATACTCTCCTTCCATCCCCATCACCATCTCATTCCATCGACTTGGTCTCCCCGTCCCTCCACGTGGCAGGAAATGGGACAGGAGAGTCGAAAATCAACTCTCCAGAATCGCGAAATGCCTCCCTGCGGCAACTCTTCGGTCTGCGCTCCATCAATCTTCACGGCTTTGAGGTGCGTTGGGATGCCGATAATCTCTGGCGCCACATGGCCTTCTCTACCTGGCCAGCTATCGCAGACCGCTACAACTTCTCTCTATCGGATCGGCGTCTGGTGGTTTTTGAACCCATCCATGTAGTGGAACTGTTTTCACCAGCTGAGGCAATGCGTACCAGACGGCCTTCTTATGAGTCAACTAAGGCTGATCTCGCCGCAGTCTCTAGATCGCGTCCCAAAGCTACTGAGTACAGTTATGATCCTATTTATTTGTGCATTTTGTGAATAAGGGTGTATTTGGTCCGTGAAATTGCTGACACAAAGTCGATGTGTTACCGACTTCGGTCCCTTGAAACTGAAACTGCTTGCTTTTGACGGGCTGCATAGCAGAGACAAACAGCGGATGAGCAAAGTGTTATTTGACTGTCAAAAAAATGTCTTTCGTGTTTTTATCGATTTAGTATCGTTTTGTGGGCCACAAAATTATGTGAACGGCTGAGGCTACTAAAATCTAAAGTCTGCATTAAACACTACTTGCAAACGGACTTGTAGAAGGGTCTTTTACTATTTGTCTTCCTGCTAGTTGGCTTCGATTTTACCCGATCCCGTGCTATAGGGTATTGTCGGAGATGGTGCTTCCTCCATGCGCTGATGACCAGGAGTGTGACAGCGATCGGAATTGGTGGTCCAACGTGCTTTCCTTCGGACACAAGGAGGCGCTGAGGGCCTTGGACTTGCCTTGGAATGGTTTTCTGGACTGGACCACGCGTCTCTGGTCCACTGCAATGATGGCTACCGCTAGCCTCCTCGGTGCCGGCTTCTTTCTCACTCTCACTGCTGCAATTATGCTCTTCGTCCATAAATGGTTATCCAGGCATGTTTTTGTCTTTCTTACCTTTGATTTTTCGCCACTCTGTGGGGCCTATTTTTTTGCAAATACGAAATCCTCCATTGCATCGAACTGACTAATTTTCTTGGCACTCATGATGAATGAATGTATTCACTTCCTCCTTTATACCATTCCTTAATATATTGATCTCAGGTCCAGTTCTCATGAATGGTTCGATGAAGGTTCCAACAATATGCTGCAATGGGAAAGAATGTTAACCTACGTACCTATCCTCTGCATTCAGGACCTTATGTAACACAAAAGTTTGGAGGCAAATTGATTAAAATGTTCCATGATATCGGTGCGCAGGAGGCAAAATATGTTATCGATATCTAATTTTCTTTTCGGCGTTCTCCTTGGTTGCTTTTTCGACATCGTTCATCAAGAAACCTTTTGAATAATTTGGCTGTATCCGTGAGGCCAATTCGTTTGTGTTGCACCACACTGACAGGACTTCGTTCGTGTAATCTTATAGTCGCTGATGTAGTCCATACCAAAGTTTTTCTGGTGACGAGCTCCTTAAAAGCTATTTACGGTGTTCTACTTTGGTTACTCCTCGAAGCTTTGTCTTGATCTTTATTTATGCTTATACTTTTCAGTATACTGTATACTGCTAGTAGAACTTTGTCATGAATTGGTATCTGGCCTAATTTTGTTTTAAGCATCCTCTATCCAATATTTTTGACTAACCTCAAGTTTTCCTCTTTAAGTCATCCATAGAATAGGGCTCTTTTATAAAGCTCTTAATCTGCTTCCTCTCTAAAACAGGGATATCTGCTCCTTCCTTGCAAGAGGCAATAACTTTGGGTGCATCCCATCGCACCACCGCCAATGAAACAGTGCAGTTATTCTTTGAATACTTTAGGGCGTACTTGTCTATACATTGTCACTGCAGACATACAAAATAACTTGGAGCGTAGTAGTAGAGAAGCGATGTGAAGAGCAAACCAAAACATGTTTGTTTTATTCTTGCAGATCAAACCCGAACGCATGTCGCGAGCCAGTGGTTCGTGTTCGCCAGTTAGTTATCCCGCTGCTCAAAAAGAACCACTCTATCGAGGAGTGGATTGTGGCGCACGGAGATGGGGATCGATTCGACAACGGAACCATCTCCCTCTGGAGCGATGGTTTATTCCATGGCTTCTCAGATACCATATTTTCAACTTCCTCCCACCGTAGTCGACACAGAGGCGAGACGGTGGACAACCTTATTGCTGCCACTGTGTCAGGCTATTTTGGTGGCCCAAAGTTAATTCGTAGCATCCGACTGTGGAGTGCTGATTGTGGCCATTTGGTAGCTACCATTGATCGCTTTTACCCGGGTAGTTTTGAGATCCGTGGTGCTGGTTCTCGTCATAGGGACCTTTCGCGTCGATTCAGTCCCATTTGGTCCATGAAGGTGCTTGCTCCCACCGGCAGTCTCGTTGCCGGTTGTGCCAACGGAACCATTGAGGTTAGTTTTTCTAATGCCTTTTTTTCAGGTCTGCACAATTGACTTTGTCGATTGCTTGAAGTTAATGTTTACAATATTTTTCTTGGGTCATTGCACTATCATTATGATGCTATGCAGCACGTTCACTAAGTCGTGGTTACCTCTGAAACTGACGTTAATGGGTGACTTTACAATGCTAACCTTTCTGTTGGTGCTTTGAATATCAGCAGAAATGCAATTTTTGTTGGTTTGGCAATAAGTTTCAATTTGGTCATTTCCGATGCTACTGATTAGTTGGTTTTGATTATGATCCCCCTCTTAGATACGATCAACGTATTCATAGTTCGTCGTGGTGGGGACGAACGCTCCCTAATAGTAAATCAGGCACTCTCAATGAAGTTGTGCATATCATCTTATAGTCCCCAGCTTTCACTATGCAGTGATGTATTTTGTAAGTCCTTTTTACCACTATTTTTGGTGGCCATTTTTATCTAACAGGTTTGGGGATACTGACAATAAATTTGTACGCGACATCGCAGCGCTGACTTTTTAATAAGTAAGTGCTGCATTTCATTTGCTCTCATGTGCAACCTTGGAACTGAAGTGTTGGTGCTACAGTCTTGCCATTTTGATGGTGAATTGTGCATTGTTGAACAGTAACGAAGCAGTCTGTGTATTACGGCTTGTAAGGAACGACTACAGTATTTCCTTAAATCGTTTATTATGTGGAGTTTTTCGGGACCCATAAATCGGGATGAAATCAAGCAAAATTTTATCTTTGTCACCGTTTATGATGTTGATGATGTTAAATTTTCTTCAAAGTCATGGTTCCCACGGCTGTATAAATCGGTAGTTTTTAAACCGACATGGATACCCAGGAGCAGCGTAATGAGTAGCCTGTAGCTGACGCGCAATCCACACGGCACATCAATCACGCGAGCAACTTGCTTTGCCCTTCGCTTTTCTCCCTACCCATGCCTACTTCTGTAGATCTGGGACTTGGACAATTTTGGTCTGCGTCAGGTCATTGATCTGACCTCTCCCGAGGGCTTCTACGATGCGCGGGGTGAGGCGGTCGACACCGGAGGTGAGCCAACGCCTGTTGGAGGAGTTACCGTCATCGAGGCCTCCTTGGAAAACCAGTAATAAGCATCTTCCTTTCTTCTGTTCCTTTCCTTTTTTATCTCCTCTTTCCTTTGGTTTATTTCATTTTAGTGATGGCTATGTCTATTGACAATTTTGCCCATCCTACTACCGGTATTGAAACCTTTAGTAAATGGATAGCCATTTGACGGTGTTAGTATTTGAATGAATGTCTAACAGGCCTGAAGCGTTTAGGTAACAAAATATTCTGCGAATAAAGTTAATTAACTCTGATCTTAATTTTGAAAGTACTTAGTCTTCGTTTCGTTGTATGATTTTGCAACGTGCTACATTCCACTTGGTCGGCTTGTTTGTCGCGGTGAGGAATAAGGCCGTCATTTTGCCTTTTTTATTGGGCAAACTTGCATTTTTAATACAGGACAATACACGTTTTTCTAACTAAGTGTCTCCATTAACTGCCTTCACATTAGACCTTGATTTCATTGAGCAAACGCTTTTACACTAAAGCATCATGCACGAAGACAGCAAAACTGAGGTAAGGAAATTTTGTCTTCCGTAGGTAGAGTTTGCAGAAAAGTACAGTACTTGCCACTTTTTGAGTCCATGTGAACGCCAGAGCTATTCGGCTGACCGGGTTTCTTCATGGACTACTTTACTGAACTTGGATGATTTTCCCTTTTCAGCAAATAATGTAAAAGAGTAATTGATGAGCTTTGCTGATCGGTGGTGGATGACTCATCGCCTTCAACGAAACTGGGAGAAAGAAATTTTATTTACTCTTTAAACTATCCATTCTTCTCCATTTATATTATCATGCTTATATTTCGCCTGTAAAAGCTGATGAGCAGCTTTTTTGCATAGGAATTCTTATCTCGTTCCATGTATTGCTGTAATCCGGAGTGTGCTGGTAGGCATGCCGCATTTTAGTTCCGCGCCAATTCGATTAAAAGTCTTCCTTTAGTCGTTCTTGCGTTCCAGTGGATATCCAACAACTTCGACACATTAGTAAACTTGGCCTTGTTCAATCAACATATGATCAAAGAGTAGCATAGTTACATCTTCCTTGTACATCGTTCGTTTTCATCAACTCGAAGATCTTTCGCATTAAATTGAAAGCAAACTGTGTTTGCCTGTCATCGAGTTCGATAGGCATTCTCCTTAAGGAACCAAATACCGATTCTATTACTTTTACCTTGATGTTATTTGGGAATGAAATAAATTAATCATCGTGGTTGTAGACACATCTTCTATTTTGGCACAAGTCTTGGTTTCGTCGGTTGCGTCAAATGGGCTCTTTTACCATCCTCCTCAATCTCCGGTAACACAGATCCCACTTCCAGAGGGAGTCGAACCAATCGTCCGCAGTGGGGCGTGCAGGCAAAGTGGAAAGCCCATCCTCAGGGCTGTGGAGTTGTACACCTTACACCCCAACGCGTCTTCCTCACTAGCCGGTGTTTCACTCCCCGTTGCGCGTCGGCATACGGCGGTCACAGCGTTCGAGGTGGAGGCAGTAGTTCCCGCGAAGACTGGGCTCTCGCTTCCGGTGCAATGGATGGCTCCCTTGCACTCATCCAACTGCGTCATTTTAGATTTCAGCGTTTTCAGTGGGATGTCAGTCATATTTTGTGTTCGGACTTTCTACAGGTATGACCTTCTCTCGTACGCACACCTCGATCACCAATTTTCAAGTTGAATACTCCTTTTGGTTGCCTTTTCGAAAAGTAAAATTGGTAAGACTGGATAGTAATTAGCTAAATTCCTCCCCTGAATCACGTTAATTGTTTTTAGTTTCGACTTTTTTGATAAAACTCAAAATATTTCTAAGTCATTTTACGCTTTCGTACTTCAGAACTTAACGCGAAAAGGAGTGTTAAATTGATGATTGCACACTAAACGTAGCACCAAGCAATTGCGTAATAGACAGTTTGAAAAGCTGGCCAATCAAGTTTAAGATTTTCATCACTCTCTGCTTCATTTTTCATGGAAAGTTTTATGCAACCCGGGTTTTTTCATTTCCTCATTGGTATAGAAGAATTCCTATGGCTATGCCTCCTACAGTGGATCTACCTTGTGAAGTTGTATTTCGTAATGTGGGGGTGTGAGACTACCTCACGTTTTAGAATGTGGTAACTGATCGCACGAATAGTGCCATCTACCTAAAACGATAATTGGCGCAATCTCTCAAAGAGAATCAATTCAACCGAGATTCAACACGATTGCCCATCTGTTTAGGACTTTACCGTGGTTGGAGCGGCAGTTGATGTTTCGCAAATCATCTGAATGTAGAGAACTTGACTACAAGCGTCAACAAAAAGTTTAAGGGATGTAGAAGTAGTCCATCTTTTACATTACTCATTATTAAAAACTGTTCTAATTAGTTTGGAGTACAATTTCACTGATTTGGAAGAAATCGCCTAATAATGTCTGGTGTGGCCTGCTTACAACCCATTTCTTCGCCCTAGATTCTGCCAATTTTATATCTCCCAAAATTCTTATGGGATTAGCATGTGAAAGCCTACTTCTTGTGTATTGTATACTGTGTGAATAGAGCAAAAGACATTATCCTCTCATTTCATTGACCTCTCTAATTGTTTGTAGTCAAAGATCGTGATCGGTCAGGCTTCTGGTTGTGTGCGGATGTTGAGCTTAGCGGCAGCAGTGCCGCTGGCTAACAAGGATCTCCGTGTCGAGGTGTCCGAGTTGTGCACGATTAGCGCGACGGGGGCAGCGGCAGAGTCACCCACGGCCGAGGGCCACTTGGGTAGTGCCTCGTGGATACGTCTTTTTAAGACTTCAACTCCCTCATCAACTGAAGACTTTAGAATGGTAACCTATTGTCACACCGGTGCTGTCTCTGTGTGGAGCATCAATGCGTCCAGTTGTAACTTAATACGAAGGTTTCAGGCCGTAAGTGAGCTGCCTTTTCTCTCATTCCAATCCTTTTGCTCTTTTCATGCTTCATAGGACGTGAGGCTGTATTGGAATTCCGAATTCCTTTCTAGAGTACCTATTTACCAGCTTATTCTGGAATTCCATCATCTTCGTGCTTACTTTTTGTGCCTGTAGCCTCTGCTCGTTGAGGTGGCATAGTTGCAAACATTTGTCTGTGGTCGCAACTTCGACTGAGACAATGGAATATACCTAGGTCTATTTTTGTATTGTATTTGAGCCATTCATTGTAGTTGTATGCATCTGCTTTGTTCATCGCACAGTTTTGGATCACTATGCGCTTTATCTGTCTCAACTTTGCACTTTTCATCTCAAATCCAGTTTGGTTGTGGTGACTAAATTTCAAATAGTTTTCGGGTTAGTACATTGTTGGTTTCGCGAAAATGGTTTTAAAGTTGGTATTAGTCGCTAAGCCGATTTCGTGTTGGAATTTGCAGCCATCATGGCAGTGCTCCAACTATTTTGTATTGGCCATTAAAACAGTTTTGTCTCCGGCATTGCACCTTCAGAGCATTAAGAATTTCGAGTTGCGCGGTGAGGAGTTTTCCCTTAATGCGCTTTGATTGTTCCGGTGAGTTCTGTGAATGGTACACTGAATCACCCAATTTACGAACACTGCTTTTATTATTTGATGATAATTTCGCTGTAAGTTGTGCTTTGTTTTGTTCTTCTCTGTTACGTCGGTTCCGCTGGAGCTACGAAGCTCTACGAATTGTTTAGACTGCAATTATTCAACAGAATCTAATACAATTAGCTGACAGTTTAGTGTTTCCTTATTTTTAACTTGGTGGACTCAAGCCCTCCATTTACGGCTCGTACAAACCGTCATTGCGAGCAATATTTGTTTTTTTTTTTTGTAATTGTCGATGCGATGTTGGGCACTTTCTAAGTAGTTTTAAATCGCATCAGTTTGGGATGTAGCTCTATCTTGGCGTTCATTTCTCGGCCCTCAAATATCTCAATCCCCAAACGACGTGCTAGTTGCAAGAGTATGTTGCTTGAACCTATAGAAAAGGCATCTCTCTGAAGACCTATGTTTTTTGTATACCATCTCAACTAATCTTTTTATAGCACAAAATTTGGCATAGCCATGGTGACTACGCCTCCCAGGCGATGGTACTGATTCAGTTCTGGATCCTTCAATAATTCGAACAATTTATCGTCTTGGCACTAGTTGCCATGATCTATTTAGATCCATAATGTATAAAATCTCAATAAGCTCCTCGGAATATGGAGATATGAGGTGTTTTGTATGTGCAGTAAGTTTCGGAGATTCGTGGATCATTGCATGATACGTCTTGTCCCAGTTAGAATTAAAACTAACCTGAGAACCAGCGCTTGTGATTAGTGAAAACAACGGAAAATCACTGGTCTGTCAGCTCAGCCACGCTCTTCCTCACTGTTTGAGGTGCCCGTAGTTCTGTAAACTAAGGCATCTTATGAGAGCTGGCTTGGAAGTTGCTAGGTAGTCCTTTTTGGATAACTAAGTTTCTCACCCACCCAGCGCATTTTTCTGCGTAGGCGGGACGATTTGGTTTTATGGAGTTAATCCCATCCATTTAATTGCCTTTGTCGAGTCTGTCAATCATTGTCGTTAAAGGGGTGAGTACTTTTTTAGTAACGTGTCTTGTTTGCTTAGTCGTTTTATGCTCAATCAGTCTGTTTGCGGGACTGGCGCAATCATGTTTGCCATTGCTCTGGAGATGAATGCATTGACGTCGAAAGCATTCATTATGGAGAAGATCATTCAGCCCCTCATGTGTGCTTTATTTCCTCCATTTCGCTTATCACAAGGCATGCCTACGCCCGTAGCCAAAGTCTAATTTTTCACATCGGACTAGCCACCAATGATGGTCTGTCAGCATACCCAACAATCAGTAATTACTTGTGGTATTCACATCTCACCGCCCCAGCTAGCGTTTCCGTTTGTAAAGATTTCAATTTTGAGAAAGGAATTTTCCTTTTGATGGTTTTCTGCCTGAACAATATCTAACGCCCTCATTGGATTCGATTTTTATCAACCAAGTGTGTCTCGAGGAAACGCCCTGGAGTCGGGAGGAGTATATTTGAGCGCGTGGTAATGTAGACTCTAACAGTGTAAGCTATGTCAGTCTCAGCACTCTGTAGTTAATTGTTTCCAACTTTTTATTAACTGAATATAGCCTTTGCCCCCTATACAATCCACGCATCTGACCCCCAATCGACGTGGTATTACTGGTAATGCTCGCAAGATTAATCTTCATCTTTGGGGATCGTTTAGATGATTGAATACAAAGTTTGGTTGAGATCCAACCGATCAAATGGATTATAGCGGCTTTTTGATGAAGTTAAGGCGGCAGTCTTACTCATTCCAAAGTTATTGCTGTTCTGAGCTACAAATGACCTGAAGAGATGCAGCAGAGGCAGGGAAGGTATTCTGTCATAGGTCGGCCTTGCCAGGAACTCAACTTCACTACCTTTCAGAGTGAATGTTTATTATGGAGGGTAAAGCGGTCATTGCTCTTTCTTCTGCTTGAAATAAGGAGTATTGCACAAGCGCATGCAATTACAACAAATGAAGTAGTTAGGGTATTGGGTGTTCCCCTTGTCATAACTCCCAATTCAGCAAGGCAGATCGATGGTCGAAATGGAGATCTAAGAGCACAAATGAGAGTGCCTGCGAGTAGCTCATTCCGTATAGCCTCTTTTTCATTCACCTGTTCTTGTCTTTGTTTGTTTGAGCAAACCATTTAGTGCTGGGACCCAAGGCGGCTGTCATTAGGGGGAGGCTGCTTTTATCGCTTAACGCTGAATGAAATGCCACTGCATGACACCCTTTTCATTACCACAAATTTTGGTTTCATGTTCGTTTGATTATGTGCAGTTGTAATTCTCTTCTTTGTCATTTTCAGAATGCTCCGGCCTTCGCCATTCGTGCACCTATCATCTGCGTTGATGATCGAGTTATTTTTGGTGAACGGGTGAGTTATTGCCGGTTAATTACCTGTTTTCACTTAACATCCCTTTTGGTAACGCATTTGCTGCGCTCTTTCTGGTCGCCATAAAAATGGAAGGGGTTATAGAGATCCGCATGGACCACCTACTTGGGTCTCCTTTGCTTCTTTCTAGGATTTACAATTAATTACATTACACATTGTTGGTCAAAACTGTTCGAAAATTTGTGTAGTCTTACCACCGGTGTTTACAGGGTGATTTGCATATGAATACCGGATGCAACACTCGGCGCCCTCCCCTTCGTTACTGGAACGCCAGTAACAACTCTTAAGCGTTGTTCCAACAATTGCTTATTTATAAGACTGTTTTAATTGCATTGCTCAACTTTTCTGCCTTTATTGTTTCTTCGAAATGAGCAGTTGATCAGAATGCGACATTTAAGTGACCAATTTTTGATGTAATAGATGAAATGCATTTTATTGTATTGCTTTTTTGCCTCTCATTTCATTTGCCTGTGTTGTTGTACTCATCGCTGCAACTGTTTGTGATATTGTGAGATTGCAAGTACCACGGAATAGCGACTTTCATATTTACTTCTCGCTATTTTGTGTTCTCCTACCTTCCTCTCATTTCACCATTTGTGTTTGTTAGTTTTAAATGAGCTTTTTAAATGGTTTTGTAATTTGCAAGGTCTCGATATATAGTCCCGGATATTCATAAGGTTACTTGGTGATTTCACTCCCCATCATCTATCGTCATCAACTCTTTACTGACCGGAGTACTGTGAGAACGCTCGAACCCCGCTTCCATTTGAATAATTTCATCTCCATTGCCAGGGCTACCTACGTCTGGTGAACCCACGAACAGCTAAGTACGAACGCTCGGTCCAGTTGATGCCACCATTGCTAACCCGTCCAGCCGAACCTGCGTCGAGGGGAGAGGGAAGCATTGATTCACAGGTTAGTCGGAGCGCGGAGCAGTGGGAGCGTGGTCTGGGTCCCCTGGGAATCACTGGTGGCAGTGATGGTCGTCAGTATTTATGCGGTCTCTCTGATGCCGGAAAGAGCCTTTTTATTGTTCCGAAGTCAGTTATTCTCAACTAGACTCGCGGAGCATTCTCCCTCTTATTTGGCTTTAGTTTCCACTTGTGATCAAGGTTGGTTTTTTCATATTTTGAATACCTATACATATGTATGTATATGAAGATATGTGCATAAATTTGTTGTTTTTCATGGAGGGGACGTTGGGAAGACCAACTTGACTTTGGGCACTCCTAATAGCATGAGTAATTTGGAAACATGCTATTTTTTGTCCTTGATGCTTTGAATGCACACTGCTTGGTATTTTGTTGTATCTTGGCGACATTTTTGTTCCGCGTAAAGGCAGGAGGTGAGTGCGGGAAGATCAGGGCCATTCACGCCAATGATAATGTTGGCCGTTTCGAACCTACGCCCTATATTTCGAGTTCGTATTACGTCATCAGCACTAAATAACCCCCTTAAAGTCCTTATTTATGGTTTATAATTGAAGGGGTCCTGCCAGATGATGTTCTATTTCTTTTATTTGTCATCTTTATTCGTATTAGCAATACCTCCCTGAACCATTCCCTCCTCCCCAAAGCCTAGTGAATGATTACCCGTAATCATTCCTTTTTTTTTTCCCGCTGCTATTTCTTAACCGCTTGCCTATTGTGAGCGTAATCAAGTGAAGATCTGGTGAAGAAATGAAGTGATAATCACCACATCCTGTAAACCTGTCTATGTGGTTGGATTGGGAGTGGCTTGGGAAGAACTAATACCATTTCCGCGCAAAACGATGACAACTTCGCATCGCCGATCAGATTGTCCATCTGGCACTCAACAGACCAAAATACAAAACCCACCTTACAAAGTACAAAAAGAGCAAATTGAGTGCCCCTAAAATTAATTGGTCGTCTTTCCCTGGTAGCGTTGAGGTGGCCGTTAAACCTCGTACACCGCTGGAGGTTACGGTTGACAATCGCCTTACCATCTATTACCACCCATCTCGAGTACTTCAATGACGGTTGATGTCTCATTTGAACCCTATTGACCGCTCTCAACTCGCTCTGCATAAAGTTGGGCACAAATCTTCTTCATGTTTCTAACTACCTTTAATCCTGCCTCCCAAAGTCTTTAAAATTCAGCTTCGCCCGTTTGATCCCGTCGACAATTTATCAATTGCAAATCATAAGATTGTGTTAGTAGAGGAAAGTGCGTTAAGGAGCGTTGAGCAGAAGACCGCTACGAATCCATGTTTTTTTAGCCCTCTAAACAATTGCACTGATTTCATCATAACCAAAAGTCAAAGAGCTATTGCAGCATTGTTGCTTTTCTACTTTTTGAACCCTTTTTGGCAGTTCTCGACAGCTGGTGAGGATAACTGTCTAGCGATTTATGTTCCAACTGACTAACAAACTCTGCTGAACAGTAGAGCAAGTACTTTTGCCGTCATCCGTTACTTACACCTCTTGTCTACTCTGTCCTTACCTCCTCTCCAACAGAGTTAGCGTCGAGCATTCTCATTCCTTAAAGGATTCAATTCAACTAACTTCTATTAACCCATCCATGGAAATTAAAGCACTTAAAACTGCAAATTTAGAGGGTGAAAAACTCCTTCGATGTAATTGATTTGAATTGTGTTCCCCCATTCTCTTACGTCCGCTTGAGCCGTGGTGGGAGGAGCTGCCTCTTCGAAAAAGTGGTGAAGAAATCTGCAGCAAAGTTGAGCGTATCCTCAGGCTTCTCCATAAGAATGCTTAGGAGGAAGTCCTTCACGATATCAACAAATTCTGGATGGTTATACAAGTAGAGGTGATACTGGCTCTTCAATTCCTCCTACAAATTTGCATGCAATAAAGGAGCCACTTACTCCCACTAAAGCCACTTTGAGATGATAAATATAAACAATGCAGATGACTAATCATTCGATAGCAAAAAACGGCGATATGATTTCTGGCCATCGCGCTACCTGGTCAAGACGTTCACTTACTTTGCGTTCATGGAACCTGGAAAAGAGCATGTAGTTGTCCTTCCAGTGGAAGTCATCATCCATGACGCTTGGAGTTGATAGATATTGGGCTATAAAAAGGCAAGGCTCGATTGCAATCCTTACTTCACTTACTTTTTGTGATAGGCGGCGGAAGATCCATCGTTTTGAAGACGATAGGCAGGCCTACTTGGACCATAGACAACAATTGTCTGGGCAAAAAAGATTACTAATTAGAAGGGGGTTGCATGATGCCGATGAAGTCCTGCAAACAACAGTTTTGCCCTGGAGATGAACTTTTTAATGGAGAATAATTCTTGGTGGACTAGTAGATTGTTCAATGATTCAAAGGTCAAAGGACCTTGACAACCAATTAGCGCCGCCCTACTGTAAATTTGAGAATAGTGGAAAGTCTCTTTATTCACTGCATCACGTTGGGGCATCAATGACAAAAGAGCCGCTATTCAATCTGTTCACTGTGTTTTCAATACGTTTCTTTTGTTTTCGAAAAATTGCACGATGTTGTAGGGCTTGGATGTGAGAGCTTTCACCATTCCAATCAATTAATTTGATCTGTTCTAGAACCCTGTATGTCCTCACTATCAGATTCACTTAAAAAGGTTTGATTTATAAGGATTGCAAAAGACCTATCATTCAAGTTACATCGGTAGGTTGATGGTACTGCGACTTGGAGAACAAACGCCACCCTTAAAACAGGGGTCGGTGAATGAGCTAACTAACTAGAGGTTATCTTTGCTTGATGGTGATGTTGAGCATCGAAAGCCATCTCCGTCCAATGTGGAGATTAACGATGGGACATGAAAACCAACTCACCCGTGAACGGTAAAATATTTGTGTGTAGTAACGCTACCTCCCGTTGGTGGAAAAATGGTTTGCTTCATGGCCAACTCAGATATACTCTTGTTGTTGTAGGAGACATTCCTTTCACATAACTGCTCCTAAAAGGTTAAAGGATAAATGACTGTTTTCTTTACCATTTTCTTCTCGCTAATCACCTTCGTGCAAAGGGCGTTAAGAAGTAGCTACGAAAAACTTCTTGCCGAAGGAGATCTAACCGCACTCCTCAACAATGTACACAATTGCTGTCAATTCCACTTTTGCACAACTCAACCTCAGAAAGTCATGACAAGCCTTGTCTCAGTCAACTCTGTTCATCTTTCTTATTTTTCCGACTTTTACTGCATATTTGCACACAGAGGATGAGAATGGACAATCTCTCCTCCTCGGTTCTGGAAAGATTATGAGGCATTCGGGGAGAGAGTTTTTAGCACATACGGTAATGAGGAGTCTCCCCCTTCAATTGGTTGACATTTTTTACCCTCAAGTTAGATTGAGCAGACAGGCTGTAGCTTCACTTTCCTCCTGCTTCCAGACAAGTAAACAGCGTATGGTAATCGAGTCCGTCTGCATTTAATCACACGCGCATTCAGAGCATTGTTTTGAAGTGATGAGATAGTGCTTGTCTCATGAATGTGGAAAAAACTTCAGGCACAATGAAACTTGCCTCAAAGGTTGATCAGTCAGTCACCAAAGCCATAATGCATACAAAACTTCCGCATCACGCCAAGAGGACAGTACAGTTAGATACACTTAAAAACAACGAAATTTGCAGTTATTTGATGCGATACTGACTAGCCAGTCACTACCATACTACACAGCTATATCCGCAAAAAGTAAAATTGAATTTATAGCGTATGGGCTAGGTTGAGATGGTCTGCAGGACGTCAAGTCATTAGACTAGGCGAAACGTGATACTAGTTGGAGAAGATGATGACCACTTCCATACTTGCTTAATTCCTATTGCTTGATAAGCGTTCGCAATCTTCTATCGCTTCTACTTTGAAATAAGACAATATTTTTCAGCAATGAATGACAGTAGTCTTTGTGGCCTTTGCCTTCATCAAGGCACGCTCGAAAGTGCGCGTGGAATAGTCTCACGCCACCAGTAGTGGTGTGGTCCTTAATTATAACAGAAGAGAAATAATGCGTTTTTTGATGCGCATCGAAGTTCTGGTCGCCATTTTTCAACTTGCTTTTATTTGTATAGAAAAACGTCAACGCGAAGTCGAGATCACATGCGTATTGACGATTGTTTTTTTTTTTTTTTTGCTTTTTGGACGGAAAAGTGTCGAAACATTCCTCATTTGTTCTGAAAACCCAATTATCATGTGGGAATTAAACTCACGAAAAACTTGGACTTAAATCAGATTGACCAGGGCAAATAAAATTTTAGGAGACTTGTCAAGGACCAGAAACAAGGTTCAATGAAGGCAACAGTTCAACCAATCAGTAGCACATATGTACGAATAAATCCTCCATCAATTAGTGACTTTGCGGTTGTCTTCGTGGTTTCAGGTGTATAAAATGATGAAAACTAACATCTATAAGACAATGTCTAACATTTGCAAGAGAATTCAGTACAATAATGATAAAGCAGTTATTTACAGATAGTTCTTGGTCCAACTACAAAGATATAGTTGAGGCAAAATCGCTCACACAAACGAGGTTGCACACCACTCCATCGGCATCCAAGGTATTCACTGTAAATTTTGTCTCGGCACTGGTGATGGCGTAAATCCGTTCAACTACAAGAACGGCACCATTGGCCAGATACCAGCCCAACTCGCTTAACGAATGTCGACGAGTAGATTTGGTTGACTCGGTGCCTATCCACTCCTCCACCTCCACAATTAGGTCATCTAGTTCGCGGTAGGTTCGGATGATGCGCTTAGTAACCCCGTCTTTAGACTGCAGCAACAGCGATGTTGTTTACAATCGCTTATTCACTTACCTTCCGTGTTTGCTCATTGATTTCGTTTAAGAGATTTAGTTGACTATCTAATTCTGATGTGAGAGTTGTGTGATACTCAGTATCTGCGATAATGTATTCGCTTCGAGTAGTAACTAGAACGGATTTGTCATTGGCACCGGCATCAACAGAACACTGACATAGCGACACAAGAGGAGTAGCAATTGTGCAAGCCTACCTCGTAAAAGCCAACATCAGTGCCATCCTCCGCAATGGCGCGTAGCGACTCCTCGAAAGTTGCCTGGTTGATGGTTGAAGGTGCTAAACCCCGATTATGCCGGTGTAGTGGATTAACAGTGAACTTACTTATATCAGTGCTGAAGTCGAAGCTAAGCATAATGCGCGATCTTGAACGTAAAGTGTATTTTGAGGTTATAGGTTGCCATGGCTCCTAGTATTCAATCAAATAAGCAGAAAATCTCTATATTTGGCATAAGCATTCCATTGAATTTAACTGTCCGAAAATTTCAATAAAATAAAACTGTCCGAACCATCAAATCGATCTATATCAAAATTACGGAATTACAGTCATGATTCTTGAATAAAATTTGAAGCTCCGAATCGCAAAATTTAGATGTCAGAATTCTAAAACAGATTCTAGCTTTGAAATGCAGAGAGGTCATCTGCCTTCGTCAGCATCTGTTAAGTCTAACAAAGCTATGGAAATTGCTAAAGCGATATGCATTTCAAACCAAATAGTTACTATGGCTTAAGTGCTTTTCACTCTGCCACACATTCAAACCCCTCTCACACACGTGCTTGATGGTTAAAATTCCTGATATAAATTAAAAATACACACCTCCCCATACTCAGCAAGCATCCAGTCCGAAAAGTCCAACTCAAGAGGTCGCCAGTCGAAGTAGCCACGGTGACAAACTCAAACAAGCGGCAAGAGCCCCAAATGCCCATCCGACTACCCAAACGAAAGAAACAACAGACTCAGAGCACCGCCCACCGTGGAGCTAGCCAACTCGTTACACCATCTCACTCGGCGGAGCGCACTCAAAACTACGGCCCCAGCCACACGCCCAGCGCGACCCCACCGCCGGCGAGGAAATTTTGAACAAACGGACACCAGCCCATCCACTGTGCCAAAGACCAACTTCGACCAGACAAACACAACGAAACCATGAATCGAGAGAAAGCGGGTCACCCTGAACACACGGAACGCCAGATTTATGCGGACGATTACTGAATGTACAAAAATGCGCCACCGCGCGCGCACCATTAAAGAGAACGCTGAGAAAGAACCCAGGATAAGATTCGTTCTTTTGATGAGATTTTATCCTCCATTTGCCTCAACCTGAATTGGGATAACACAGGGTACTGTGGAAGAGGTTCGAGACATGTGCGCACAGTAGAGGAGGTACTCAGTGGATTGAACCAATTAGGAGTGCGGCGTACCCGACCTAAAGAAAAGAAGTTGAGAATCACAGCATCTCATCATTATAAACATAGTATGAACCACAATCACGTCGTTCAAAGCTCAAGGGCCGCCTGTCACCAGGAGGACGAGATAAACTTTCAATTTCTTCGCTTGTAGACGGTGTTTGACGCTCCGATGAGGTGGTTCTACAGCCTATACGATGTAGAAAAACATTAATATTGTCAAAGAACCATGGAGGAAAACTACCTTCATTAAGCAGGGAGAATGAGGACGCTTGCTTGTTTTGACCCCAAAGATTGCGTTTGAACTCCTCTATGGGCATTATGGTTCGAAAATTGGGCGATAGCGACCTACGATGTCTGACTTTCCTGGATCCTGAAAAACCACAAACATTAGGAAAAACTTCATAATTCCTACGAGAAGCTAGAATGCATGTCTACTTAACATCTCATCTGGCGCAGTACATCCTATTGCAACTTAATTAAAATGCAGCACTAATGTGTTCCCTTAATTCAACTGGGAGTGATGGAAATTGACCAGACAATTGAACGCCCCATCACAGAAACCGCTAAAAATGGTTGCACACTTCCTCTTATTAAAAGACGTGAATCCAAGCAAGACCATAATGGACACTTCCGTGAAGGAAATCTGTAAGAACCTTAATCTCCATGACCATCTCAAATTACACTGTAGCACTTTACCGTTCATAAATTTCATATTTTAGTACAGTGGGGTAAGTCTCGCAAACTTAAGAATACATCACACATCCTGACGGCCACATTGTTAATGTATGGCTACGCTGAGAACCACCACCATAGCTCCATTCAATACTCGAAAGGTCAGAGCAAATAGGAAAGGCCATTGCAAGTTCCATGTTCTACAAGATTTAGAACCGAAAGTGATACGAGTCCGTGGTGATTCAAATGCCAGGAAAAGACTAGTTCCGTAATTTATTGCCTTGAGAGCTATATGATGTTTTGATGCGGTACAAATTAAAACAACACAATGTGACAACAAAATCCAGGTGGTACTTCTAACGCGTTTTAAATCCCTTATGATAAATAAGAAATTGATGAGGGTGCTTAAAAGGAAAATAAGGAGCTGATGTTCTGCAGCGAATACATCACCTCCTCCATTCGGGCATCGCCTGGAGAAAGCGGCCTGATTAGGCATTGCCTAACCAGCACTGACCAATACATTGCAAAATGACTAGAGAACACAAAGACAACACACCTTGGTCGAATGAACGGAAGAAGGGAAGCCTCATAGTTCCACGTTCCAATGCATACTCAAGTTCTTCTACTGGGGCGATAATTCGCCGCTTGCGCGCGCACTTGGCACTAAATTCTAAATAAAACGTGGCGATAAATCAAACACAAAATGGATAATCGCCGCAGTGTATTCGCTTATTAAAAGAGCGTACGCACTGTTATGGTAAATGGGGGTCGAAATTCGTCTTTCAACATGTTTCTGTGTGGTGCATTTACGATTCGCCAATAAGGGAGAGCGTTTAATTTCTGCGTGTCTTTGAGAGGCACAGCCGACGGTATTCCGAGGGGCCATTGCATTTCCCCGGCGAATTGCTTAAGAAACGAAGTTATGGATGCCGTAATGTAATCAGGATCCAGACACACAAGACTTCAAACAGATTTTGATCTCGGATAACGGCGAAATTGACGACAAAGAAAAAACCAGCGCTAAATTACCAGTCGGCATTGGGTGTGTAAAATAGTCCAGTTTTTCTCCATCAGAATCTTCAGCTTCCATTTCTGTGTACTAAAATAATGTTAAGGTTATCATCCACAACCGACCTTTTTTATAACAGCTCTCAACCCTTCACTGAAGAACATCCTAAAATTTGTAATAAAATACATAAGACAGAAGCGATGCTGTAATAACTCCTCCTCTATAATTATATACCAACAAAAATGTAAACAGCCTACTGAAAGACAGCTAGCACCCTGAGAATAAATTAGGAAATAACAGAAGCATTTGATTCGAGCATAGTGAAGATCTTACTTTGGTGAAGGCAATGAATTTGGTGAGGCTGTGAACTTGCATGCGCTATAAAGAACCAAGCACACTTATAATGCTAAGGGATTTCAACATAATAATCCGAGAACGTGAGAAAAGCCTACAGAGATAAATTGGTGATAAAATCCCACAGAAATTTCAAAAGGACCGAGACAAATTAGTGCGCAAATGAAATAGATAAAACAAATCGCCGAAGAAAATGTCATCACTAGAAAGTTAGGCATAATTGACATTCAAAAAATTTGCCCGATTTTAAACCTCCATTTATTTTGTTGTCCGCTTATGACATGCGAAATACGACGTTTAGATGAAGTTCACTATCTCGATTTAAACAGCTAAGCCAACGAAGGCCTCATTTTTTAAAATCATGCTTTTATGCATAAACTTCTTTTTTTCTGTTATGACTTGCTGATTCGTGCTAGTCTATGCCTTTGTAAAAATGATATGCAAAAATACTCAAGCACACCCATACATTGAGCAGACTTCTAGTGTTTTATCGTATATCGTTGACTTCATCTTCTATTAATGTATGAAGAAAAGTTTCTCGGCGTTTAAAAAGTTTATTTGTGGTGCTAGAAGGCATGATGTTTGGCTGAATGTTTGCGTTAGGCAAACGGTTAGAAATATTCTCATGGACTCACCGGAAGCCCACTTTATAGTACAAAGGTGAGGTATTCTCCAAATTGGCAGCATAACATAGAGCTAGTCAAAATAAACAAAGTGTTACAGAGGCAAGTGTAGTCCTCCGAGTCCTTCTGGTCGGTATAAGAAATTAGTAATTGCAGTAGGACACAAATATTCTGAAGACGGCAGGACAAATGGGTTTGAGCATAGCCCAAAGGTCAGGGTACGTGTACAAGAGCCAGACAGATCCTAAAGTGGTCGCCAAACATCAGGTAGTCTCATAAACAAAGCATTACAAATTTTTTAGCCTAGAATTGAACCGCTATGCAATATCGTAACTTCAATCTCTTTGACCGTCACTTGCTTCGTTTTTTACCTTTCCGTTGGCTTGCTGTGCTGGCTTTGGTGCCACTCGAAAGCATAATCTCTTTTTTTCTCTCTTTTTACAAACAGTCAGTGAAGCATCCTGAGTCTAACCACCAAGTAATAGAAGGCATTAAGTGGAGATAAATGCCTGTGTTCTAGTGAGGAAAAAAAGAGATAAAGAGCTGGATTGCTCCTTAGGCCAGCTTGCATGTACAAGAACCAGACTAATAAGAAAGTAACCCCCAGCCATCAAGTGGTGCAGGAGTAAAGTTTTGCATTCGGAATTTTGTCGTGAGTGAAGCTGGATACATGTATTCCAAAGAGATCAAAGCAACTAGGCCTGAGCATGGCCAGAAGGCCATCTTATACGCACAAAGGCCAGGCAAATCTTAAAGTGACCGCCAAACATCAGATGGTTTCATAAACAAACCATTACAAGGAGAATATTCAACCTTTCCGCAACAATAGAATTAAGAACTTTGCGTATGCTTCGTAGGCAAAACATTAACAATTGAAGCAACGCCTCTGTGTACCACTTGGAAAGGTTCCCTTACCGCGAACGCTTTTAGACATTAGCGATGACATTAAGTTAAAGCTTCTTCAACACACGACTGTGTTTAATCTCGTTCTCCTTGTTGCATATCTACTTTAGATCAGCGTTTCAACGTCTAGACTTGAACACAATTGGTAGTCGACCGAAGTTTCGGCCCTCGATTCCTACTACTAGTAACACCAAACTCGAAATTCACTCAAAGCTGATGAGAGTTTCAAATGCATTTACTCAGTCTCGTGGTAGATGACGGCTGTTTGAGCTGGCTCCTAGGCGCATATTTGCAACGCCGAATACGCTTTGGTGGCTGGCATAGGAGTTGCATCGGTGAGAGTACCAGGAACGTCATTAGAATTTGAATTAGAATTCTTCAAATTGGAAGTCTCGGGACGTTACAGTATAACTTACTTTTCCATGCATTGTCTGCACCAATAAATCGAGGAAATAAATGTAATATATATTAGTTTGTTTAAATGGACTTTTATAGGAGAGGCGGGAACCAATTGGGAATGAAATTCACGTGCGCGAAGACAGTGAGGAGTCTCTCCAGTTGGTATCTGCTATTTGGTCTATCTGCATCCCAATCCCCAAACGCCAAATATATCATCTGCAGCCAACATTCTCTTGAACCCTAAGGTTCAAGGGCCAGAGTGCAGGCTGCCAGCTCTTACAAGAAAGACTTAAGTAATATCTGTAAGTTATAGTGCCTTTTTTCACCAAATATTGTTGCAACTGTTTTTGCATCAATGCGCCATGCCGGCAATAGCAATGGGTCCATTATAATTAGACAATAGTTGTAGCGTCTCGAGGCTTCCCATTATGTCGATGAAGGTAATGATTTTGACTTAATACATGCATCCTGGGGAGAGAAAAGGAATTTGGTCTAAGGCTGGTCCGAAGGGCGCCCACGTGTACATCAGGTGATCACTTAAACAAGGCATTACAAATGCGTGGTTTTGTTAACATTTTTTTGCTGCACACCACCTTCCACACTGTATGCATTTTTTTGCTTCATGCAAAGGTCACGTATACTAGTATTCTCCGCTCACGCCAAGTTTCACTGTTGCGATCACTGTACAAGAATCTAGCTGAACGAAATTGAGAACCAATATGTCGTGCAGATTAGTTGTTTAAATGTGCCTTGTGGGGCAAAGACAAGAGTTCAGCTCGATGGTTGTGCTTGAGGGGACTAATAGCACTGCGGAGCGTGATTAGGCGCCCTTGCGTTGCGTACGGTATTGTCCAGCGGTAGTAACGTCGAGGCTACATTGATGGCATGTGAAAAACCTATCCTAAGTCGACATGGTGGTCAAACCATGCGAGTGACGTCTTGTATTTTATAGAAGGTAGCATACAGGCGCCTTACCACAAATACTCATAAACTTTTAATAATTTGCCATTTAGGTTATTTTGTTATCCCAAAGAGAATTTCCAGAGCACTAAATCGGAACGCAACTTCTTTGCAATCAAATTTCAACAATAAGGAACAAAGGGCTGAGTAATCACAAATGTTATAGAATCCCGCACAGACGTATCTCCAAATTTTCAAGATCTCTTCATGGAAGTGCATAGTACAAAGTTGGATTATTATGGTTGGCTTAAGGGTGGCATTATTTCCATGGGATTAGTAGTAACTGATGTCAGCAGACGGAACAAAGTACTAAATAAATTATTAGTACTTCAAGCGCCTAAGTGGTGTTTGATCTTATCCTAGGGTTAAGAAAAGTGCAATATTTCGTTCATCCAATCGCCTGTATGCGTGCAATCACTTTGGCGACTCGACCTTTGCCAATGGGCTAGCCTTCGACAATGCCAGAGCCCCATCGCATTCATTTCGGCCCAAGTACAAGTATACGACAGGGAACTACATCCTTCTACAGCCTAGTAGGAAGTTGCAGTTCACTACAACGGTGGCAGCGACACTTACGATTTTCCTCATCGTTTGCAGCAAACCGTGTGGTAGAAGTTAGCATGCACACAGTAGAGTCTGCTTGGCTACCCTCAAAACCCTGAACCTCGGACTTCAGAAGAGGGTTAGTTGAGGAAGTTTCAGTAGGCATCAAGTACAGAAAGAAATGAAATGTGAGAGGATTTTGAGGCAAAAAGTCAATGTCACCATAAGAACGTATGTTTGCACTTCTCAAACACTGGGTTCGTGTTCGAATCCATTTTACGCCTCAGCTACACCTTACGTAGGAAAGTTTCTACTTTTATACAGTAGAATGGCGGAAAACGATAGATCCATTTATCTTCTACTCCAATCCTGTTTCCCACAACCAAACTACTAAAAGTTAAGGCTATACCAACGTAAAATCATTTGGGATTTTCTCGTTTAAGGGTTAAAAAACCCCATTTGTTGTATTTTGCTGATGACCGTTTGACATTTGGCGGTTGATTTAGCGTCCCAAGACTTCCTAGCCGGTATAAGAAGTCAGCAAGTGAAGCTGAATATATGTATTCCGAAGACGACAAGGCAAACTAGCCTGAGCATGGCTTGAAAGCCAGCCCACATGTACAAGGGCTATACAAATCCTAAAGTGATGACCAAATGCTATGTGGCCACGCAAACAAAGTATTATAGTTACATTGACGTTTATCTTCCTTTTGTACGCGAGGACTGACATTTGGACCGAGCCAAAGTCTATGGTTCCAGACTATGCCGTAGCACCGATGTTATAATTTCTGCTTTAAGAAAGATATGCAGCCGCGTTCAGAGCCTTACAATGTAAAATATGTAAACCCTTTTCTCGCTGATAATTCAGGTAACTAGAAAATCCGTTGGAGTTGGAATTACAAGACATCGAAATCCTAAAGAAACCTTTAAAAGTTTAAATAAAGCAAACAGCACTTTTTAAAATTTTTTCAAGATATAATCTACCTATCGCTTTAAAAAGTTGAGACATCTCAAACATCCATTACTGTTTATTTGACATAAGTTAATCAATAAAAAATTCGCCCAGAATGTAAATTGAACCACTTAAATGCATTTCTATTCTTCGAATAATCATGACAATTACGACTTCTGGAATACAAGGGCTTCGACCGACTTTCTGCAAAAATAGTGATGTTTAAGTCGACATTCTCGTGCGGATTTTAACTGGTCATGTCGCGTGAGGTTAGGTAGGCTTTTTCAATGATCTTGATATTCCAGGTCGAACGTGCGGTTAATGCGCCCAGGAATGGCTGTAATTGTTCTGAGCGGGAAATACGCTGGCCGTAAAGCTATCATTATTAAAAACTATGATGATGGCTCAGCTCAGAAACCGTATGGCCATGCTCTTGTTGTCGGTATCGACCGTTATCCTCGTCGCATTTTGCGGAAAATGAGCAAAAAACGAATCGAGGGGCGTTCTAAGATAAAACCCTTCATGAAACTTGTCAATTACAATCATATTATGCCTACCAGACACACAATCGTCATACCATTCGACGCTAGCGTTGTTAACAAGAACAGTCTGGTTGATAAGCGAAAGAAAAGGACAGCGCTCCTGGAGGTCAAAAAGAAACTTCAGGAAAGGTAGCTCTAAATTGTTCTAAATTCTCATTCTCGTAGGTATCGCACCAACGAAAATCCCTGGCTCTTTCGCAAACTGCGATTCTGATCTATGTGTGAACATGTGAAAACTGAATAAAGAAGTTGGTTCGCACTGAAAGCTCGTTCTACCATGGTTGTGATTCGGACTGATTACCGATTTAACAGAGTGGGGATCGAGCACTTGCACAGACGTTGGGCTGTTCATCGAGGCGCCGTACCCGTCATTCTGAAACGACTCATCCCTACGCCACGAAATCGTTAACGATTAGGTAGAACCATGGATTTCTTTAATTGGGTCAGCACTGTGGTGTCGACCTGCGCGACTCTAGATAGATACATAGAGCTTATGAAGTCTCGAGAGTGTAGCCAATGGTCAGACTTCCGTAGACTTTTGTCGTCTCCACCCCGTGTGCCGACTGAGAAGCTTAAGAGATAGGATTTAAAAATGCTTTAATGAACGGCTCCATGGTGTTACATTCGGCGTGCGGACGGTCGTTTATTTACAAAATCCACTGTCGAAGCTGGCTGAATCCACCTAAGCTCACATACGCCTGCTCTTCACCTAGGAATGACAACAGGGCGAGTTGTTATTGGAAGCTTTTAAAGAGGTAACGAAGACAGTGACGAAACTAACAATTCTGTCAAATGCGGCATCAAAGAGTCCGGAGGTGGGTTCAGGAGCCGGAACAGGAGCGAACGCCTCGTTTGCGCCAGCATCGGTCGGTGAGGCCTTGCGCTTCAAGCGATGCTGCGGGAATGAGGGCATCATCTCCGGTTCGCAGGCTATAAAGCAATGGAGTGTTAGGGTGCACAAAACCCGCGTAGAACCGTACAGAAGATGGCTTCAGCTACTTACGGAGAGGATGTTCTCTGAAGTAGGAGCTCTGACAGCATTCCCTGGCACGAGCGCGCCTCGTTGGATCGTACATGAAAAGGAAGTTGAGCAGTCTAAATCCGGCATCAGAGAGCCAAGGAAAGGTTTGACGAAGATTGTTGTATCTGAAAATATTCCCCTCCGCATGATAAATTTGGTATTTTAATATAAACATAGGCCAAAAACGAAAGCTTGGCTTACTGCTGGGTTTTCAGCGTAATTTTCTTCAGCAGAGGTAACGAGCTCATTCCCTAGAGGGATATCAGTGGTAGTGTTAAGTAATTACTAGAAGTATAGACCTACGGGCCAAATGCGTTCGTTCGGAGTTCCCAGCAAATCAATTATCAGTTCCAATTGATGCACCTCATTCTTACCGGGCAGAAGAGGCTTATGCAAAAGCAATTCTCCCATAATGCATCCCGCCGACCTGCACAAAAGAACGAGGCAATGGGAGAGGTAGTCCACCCTGAAGAAGCCACTCACCATATGTCAATTGCCTTGGTCTGCATTTTATCACCCAATAAGACCTCGGGTGCACGATACCTTCAAGCAGAACATATATTTATACCAATTACAAGAAAAACCGAAGTTACTAAGTGAAACTTACCACAGAGTAACCACCTTAGGTGTCATTGGGTGTTGCGAATTGGACGGACGCGCAAGTCCAAAGTCGGCTATGGAAAATTTGACAATTAATAAAGAGGAAACCCCACCTATCTTTACCATTCCTTTATCCGTCATGAGCAGATTTGACACCTTCAAATCACGATGAATTATGAAGTTCTCATGAAGGTATCGCAGACCTTTAAAAACTTGAAGCATAATTCCTTTAACCTGAATACCAAAGGATAATAATCTGGTTGATTTTTTGTACCTGTGCCTCAGTAAAGGAATTTGGCATGTTGTCCAGAAGGCTTGCCAAATCTTGTTCACAGTACTCCATCGAAAGAAATATGCTAAAATAGAAGTTGGAGCGCTAACCCGACCAAATAAGACCAATGCTAAGAAAATGAGCTAAGCCCATAAATAACTCCAGGAAGAAAGAAGTAGTAAGAATAAGAAGTACCATATCTGAGATCCAACTTTTGACAGATGTAAGAGAAATAGACTGTTACCTGTCGAGACTACGCCCTACAACAACCTCCCTCAGTTGAACAACGTTTGGATGCTTGATGCTCAGTAAAAGGGTTATTTCTCGTAGACTACTGATCGGGATACCTATATGGACGAATAAGGACAAATGTTAGTTTATACCATCTCTCTCATTTTCCATTCGGACCTTCTTGAGTGCAACAATCTCTCCGGTCACAGAATCACGTGCTCTATCTTAAGAAAATATGGAAAGTACTTGAGCATTACAAACAATGCCATAAGTGCCCTCGCCGATCCGATTCAACTTCTCGAAATCAGAAACACTCCTACATCTCCCTTCCTATAACCGCGTAAAGAAAATACTCAAAGCACTCTACCCTAAACTGCGTGGGTATCCTGAAAGGAATCAACTTCTTCACGCCAAAGAGCTTCAGTTCATCAATGCCTGCTTCCATGACTTTGAAGCACGGAACGCCAATGGTGACAAAACAAATAGGAATGCTAGACGCATTGCGTCATCATCATCATCATTTGAATTCGATCACTCTTTATTTTATGGATTGCTAGAAACAAATTAATTATTGATTTCAACAAGGTTGACCAATTATACACTATTAGCATAACTCCAAAATTTGCCACATGAACGTTGCTTCCGCAGAGCAAAATGATTTGAACAGATGATGCATAGATTTAATAGACGGAAACAATGGGACCACCAAAATGATTCAGGTGGAAAATATGATAAAGCACAAACAAATAATACTTCTCAATCAAGAGTCGCTGAAAGTTGGTTTTATTTTACTAACATTTGCTGGGATATTAAATATGTGTATGAGGCTACTCCTTGCTGTAGCGTCCCGAGGCTTCCCTTAGGGTGGAAGGAGGTATAAGTGGAGTTGAATATATGTATTACAAAGGCGGCAGGACAAATGGGACCTGAGCAGAGCCTGAAGACCACCCACGTGTACAGGGACTAGACAAAACCTGAACTGACCGTCTAACGTTAGGTAGTCACATGAACAAAGCATTAAACTGCCCCTCCCTTCTTTTGATCAACGTCCTCGGCGATCCCATTTGGTACATCTCCCATGCCAGCCATCACAACATATTCAGTACTACAATAAAGCACCCACAAGCCAACCGCACCAGTCAACAGACCACACAAGACTGAGGAATGCTACTTGATCTCCTCGGCAGCTTCAAGTGCATCTGGAGTTACGTCCTATCTGACAACCAGATTCAGAGCCGCATACATCTGTTGACTATCAATTGCTTCCAGGAATAGACGGTGAGACTCTGGTCTAAAACATATGTTACAAGGAAAACGGGATGAGCCACTGTCCCATAGGTAAGGAAAGCCGTGGTGTCATTTCCGACAGCTAAACACGGATTTTGCATGAGAAATTCCGACACGAAACTTTTCCAAATAGTTAACGGTGGTGTCGCTTCAGCTGTTAATAGCTTGTCTGTGGAACATGTGAATAAGGTGATACCAAGTGCAGACGTCAGTCTCAACCCTTTCGTTGTGAAGGTTTCCGAGATTGTCCGTCACCAAGGCAAATGCGTCTCCTTTACGCCTGTATCTTCATCTATTGCCTTTCGACAGAGTCATACTCTCTTCTACGCATGTATAGCTCATGATTGCCAGTGCACAACGCCAAAATGGATTTCCCCACTAAAAGATAGAATTCCTTTGTACTCTTGCCTGCTAGTTGGATTATAAATTTCTTGTCGTGAAAAGAGAGGTTTCGAATTTCCGGCCAAGGGAACTTGATTTTGGGGTATCTGCATTTATTCAACCAGTGCACCATCCGATTGAACCGCTGCTCGTCGGTTTGTTCGTACTGTTCTTTTCCGTAATTCAGTCGATTAGTTGGCAAAGTTTAGCTACGCAAAAGTAGGATGTCAGTAAGGCAGCAGTGTCTGTTGGGTAATAGATTTTCCAGCACATTGTCGCTTTCAAAAGCACATTGCACCTAAAAGTCGTCAAAAAATGCCGAGTTCGCTTTCCGCTGCCACCAGTGTAGCGTCCCAAGGCTTCCCATGGGATGGAAGAAGGTATAAGTGGGGTTGAATACACGTATTCCAAAGACGGCAGGGCAAATGGGGCCTGAGCGTGGCCCGAAGACCAGCCCACGTGTACAGAGTCCAGACAAAATCTAAACTGATCGCTTTACGTCAGATAGTCACATAAAGCATTACATTTGCTGCTCAAAAGAATTTCAATATAGGAATGCAGCTACTTTCTGTGTCATTTTATCGCTTGCCCAACCGTTTCAGTTACGATCACATATGCGGCCAAATGGACTCTTCTCCATTACATTACACTTTGTTCCGTTCCCTCCGAATAGCAATGATAGCAAAATCAGAGCGTTATACGCCCTAATCTGCTCGCAAATGGCTTTTGAGATATATCCGTGTGGCGCAAATTTTGTTGATTAATCTTCATTCAATGTCACTTAAGTGGGTGGAAAGGTATATCAAGGGAAGTCATGCAGACGCATTAGATCAGATCAAAAGGTAGTCATTAAGTTGAGGCTGTTATTAATTTTTGCTAATTATTGCCGTGCCTTAGCTTGGCTGAGTAATAGGTAATTCATTGTTTACTGAAATATTATCACGATTTGTAAACGGTTATGGTGAAATATACAAATGTGTTTAAGTTTGCCTTTGTAGGGTAGAGGCGGAAAGCAATTCGTGCACAAACCCAGTTCGTGAGGAGCGTGAGGATATGTTCTCAAGGTAGCATCAGATGTGCGTCTCATCAGCGGCCACTCCTCTTTTCCCTTCGTTTTGTACATGAATCCTAGTAAAGCTTCCTCAACTAACTCTGTTCTGAAGTCCGAGGTTCATGGGTCTGGGGAGTAGACAGACAGGCTCTGCATATGGAGCCCTCCGAAATCGTAGCAATCCAAGTCTAGCCCCACACTGCTCTTTCCTGTCATATCATTTGAAATATCTTTTAAGCAGACTTTTTTTAAGGTTGTGGCCGTGTGACACTTAATTGCTAGTAGCTCGTTTTAACCTATGTCGTGTAATTTGAACGGCCCTAAAAATGAACTAACATTTAGTTACCTGATCCGATCAGACGCTTACAATTGAGTAGTGCATGCTTCATACGAATGAGCTTTCGTTTACTGTCGGGCTGCTAATTTGGCTTAAATTTATATTTCTTCATTATGCCTTTGTTTCGTTTGGAGGTTTCAGATTTATAATGGGGAAATGATCCCGTGGTAGTTGCTGACACCTGTACTGTTGTTTTCACCATAGAATCCCAAACGCACGCCTCGTTGTTTTTAGGGGTAGTAGCAACAGGTGACATGAGTGCGCTTAGACGACACAAGTGTGCACAATGTCCATTGTTAGTTTGAGTGCATCTGTATATTTATCTTCGTATCAGTCTAAGCCTTCACCGGGTCAAACAATTTAAGGCTGCTGTTTTGTTTATTCGAACCCTAAAAGTAAATAAAGTCAGATCAGCGTTAAGCGGTGACATCAACATCGCACAACAATCCATCATATCTTTCAATGTGAATTTACCATCACAACTGCCCACATGGCCTAACCTCAACGTGAATTTTCCACTGATGTGATTTGTTGTCCATTCGAATAGTGATTCCCTTGCTAGAGCTAAAGTAGATGCATCACCCACGTACACTTCCGGTGACCGGAAGTCGAAACATCTTGACCAGATCCTGAGGTTCATTTTATACTTGTGCCATCTCCAGATTTCGAATTGATTGGAAAACGTCCTTACCGCCGGTAGTCATGTTACATCTCTAGAGCCGCCTGGTGTGGCTGTTCTTAGGGCGGAAATAAAAATTGTCGGCAATCTGCATAAGGATAATCGACCCACTCAAATGGCCGACTTGCTCTATTCTAGCCTCCGGTTTGCGAAGATACAATTCAAATCATTAATTTGCCGCTTAACGCGTAACCGACCGGCTGAGAGCTGAGTTAACCAAACTCGTTCAGTAAAATAGTCGTGTATCTGCCATATATGCCGCCTAATGAATGGAACTCGTCTCCATGTTTTAGGCATCAGCTCCAATGCTGTAGTACCACTTTAGAAAGTCCAAAAACCGACCATAGCCCTGCTGAGAAATGATTATTTCAAAAGTGCACGTCGACGTTCAGGTACAGAAAAGCTACGCCTTCACTCCCTCAGATTCTCCTATGCGTCTGTTCCAAAATAAAGCAAATCCCAAATTCAGTCCCTTCACTTTTATAATTCTCTTTCAAAATACTCTAATCACTTCCCCACCAAAAAATCACTAGCAAAACTTAAATACTTCCGAGTCGATATGAACAAGCAAATTCATTAAACGATTAGTTGATATACTATCACAACAATTTCAACAGAGTTCCGTGGATAATCCCTAAGAGACGATGGTAGTCGATGTTGTCGTCGTGGTGGTGAGATAGTGGAGCTCCAGGAGGGAGAAGGAGCAGCGTCCATAGGTATTCCCATCCCGAAGTTTTCTACACGTTAAGCCCGGACAACAGGGTTTGTGGTTCCAACCCCCACAAGTCTCGTCGAGATCCAGACAATCCTTGGCTTTGAAACAGTTAAGGAAAAAGCAACGTCCTAACACTTCTATGACGTAGTCTTTGCTCGGGTAAGCAGAAGTAATGACATAATTACGTTGGGACGGGAAGGAATTCCAAAAACTCACCAAAATTAACATGGACAATATTTTGAATATGTTCAGAGAACAGTTGCAAAACCACTATTAAATGCAAATTAGGTTAGAATGAACATGAAGATACGCTCGACGCAGGACTCATATAATGAGCTTATACAGATGCCTTCAATACCATTCAGTGGTAACAGTGAGACCCGACCTTACTGTCTGTATGCCACTAGAACCCAAATTTGTCACCTATTGCGGTGAAGCCAATGGTAGGTTTGTAAATCTTGCCACCAACCAGAAAGTTTCGGTGTTTAATTAGCAGCAGCAACAAAGCCGAATTTTTGATGAGATGTGTCAGATAAAGAGATGGAATAGCACCATCATACCACCCTCAAGCACAAGAAAACGGATTTAAAATTGGAGTGCTTCAATTAACATAAAAGAGTTTGATAGCGAAGACAAAAGAAATATACATCGCCTATGAGGATTCTCAAGGATTACACTTTTATCGTGAAAATCAAACATGTTAAGCTGGAGCAAGGACGGTTCGGTAAATTAACAACGTAATTGCGGGGGTTTTAATTGTTTATGGCGTATTCATTGCTAACATAAATTGAGAATGACATATAACAGTAATTTAAAAGAAATATAGGCATTGCAACTAAAACTTTAAGGCTTTTGACCTTACCCACACCACTGAACTTTCCACGATAGGCTGAGGTTCCGCTATTCGTTCATTAATTTATACACTAGCCTAAGTCTTCAAATTCGTGAATGGGTTTCGCCAATCAACTCCCAAATCCGTTTCCATAAGGCCTATCATTACTACATAGAAGGCTCAAGCACTGAAAAGCGGTCCTCTATTGCCTCATCAACATGCTCATGGGAACTCAAAGAGATCAATAACACCGACTCACCCGATCCCGACGGCAACGCAAGAGCGTGTAAAATGCAAGCAAGCAGTAGGACAAGGACGCACACCTCGACGTTGCTCATCCTATCGATACTTATTAATTGGAGGTCGCGCCAGTCGCAATCATTCGAAAATAAAGGTCATTACCACGATTCAGATAAACGGTAAACAACGACAACGAATTTGTCATTATATTCATAGAGGTCGTTTTGATGTGTGACAGGGTAGTCTAAACATATGGCTTCGCAAAAAAGATGCATTTTTGCAGGATAAAAAATACGCAATATGATCCGTTTGCAGAAATATTTATCATAGAGAATGCATACGCACACAAGTTTACGCACGACATGACCTTTGGAATGTCCTGAGTCGATCTGATTTGGCGATTTACTCTGAGCTAGTGAATAGCCCACTGGTTTGAGTGACAAAAATTGATCTGACAAATCTAGCATGAAATAAAATTGAAAGTTTGAATACTTTGTGGTACTGCAGGAAAGGACATTGATGAAGGTGTCCAAATAAAATGCCTGCCTGCATTTACTTTTTCTTTGGTTACCCAAATCTCCACTTTGTACCAGGAGATATATGTGGCTGGTTAACGGACGGAAAACGTTTTCAAATTAAATGGCCAGTGGAGCCGTGGATCCTATCAAATAACATGGCCGATTTGCCTTCTTAAAATTCTTCATATTTGCTCTTCTAGTGATAATGTGGTACCATTTTTGCGGCTGTCCATTTGAGTGACGATCTATTTGTCGGTCACCTCGCTTCTGCTAAGTAGCGCAGTCTCAAATATGTAAGAAGAGGCTTCGGAACGCTACAAATGGAAGTCTGTAATATCTAGTACGCCGGTTGCTAGCCCCTTAACTTCAGGCTTTGTAGGAGTTGGGGAGGGTTTATTTGGGTTCCCCAAAAGGGTATAAGTAGAAAGGAGAATGACCCCGAGTAACTGGTATCCTTATTAATCCCCGCAGGAACCCTCACATCCCACAAGCACGGTGTTTAGTTGACTTCCTGCCCGTCCTCTACAATGGAAACTTCAAGCCACTAGCGTGTATTACAATGTCTGAAAATTATTCCACTGGAAGACCTGTTAAATGGAAGAAGTGCTCCTGCCTCAATCAGTGTATCAGCGATGCACGATGGCAGTTGCCATGATTAAGTTAATGATTGACAGCATACTTGTTAGCGAGCTTTCTGTTATAAACTTGGGAATCAAAATTGAGAAATCGTTGGGATTGAAGCAATACTTCCTCCTGCTAATTAATGCCACTTTGAATTCATGTGAGGTTTCCACAACAGTGTACCTTATAGAAAATATAAAATACTCAGTACTTTAAAGTCAGCAAACTTGAAGTTGCTACTAGTTAGGTAAAGATTGTACTAACATCGCCAGTGTGCACTATAGAATTAACTGAGTAAAGTACCCGTGGCATTTGTCTCACATCAACTGTCAAGTTCATTTGTGCAAAATCCGAAAGTTTACTTCCAACTTGGCGAAAACAAACAGTTATGGCTTGACCTTTGCTTACGACTTGCCTTTAACATACACTTTTAAGGTTCCACTAAGGCTAATCTAAAGGAGATGTTAAACGAGGTGTTTGCATTGTCACAGAGATGTGTCTGCTTGAGGTAAATGATGACGTTTATGACAGGTAGAGTTACCTTGTTATGGTTGTTGGAAGTACAGTTTCGTCAACAAGCGCACTCTTGGAGTCACCAGCCAGTAGATTGGGAAGCGGCAGAGGATTGCAAGTGCTATGTGTCCAAATGTGGCTTCGGAATATGGCAAGATGTCAGAAAATCCGATTCCGATTGTTGGACACATCGCTACTGCGACTAATGGTTTGTTAAACCGCTGACTAATTCAACATGTCATTTTGATAAAGAGAAGCCGAAATAGTTCAAGATAAAACCCACTCCTTTACAACAACATTTCGTTTGGTGAGTTCATATGAGTGCGCCTTAGTGTTACGGGATCAAAAAATTATCGAGTGTGAAATCGTGAAATGCAGAATACAATCAATTTAAGAAAATTCATAACCAAATTGTGTTGTGGACATTACACTTAACCCAAGTTTCAAAGGGAACACAAGCGGGTCAACGTCTTAATTTCACCACGTAGGCTGAAGTAACAACAGTCCCATTTTAACCAATCGTTGCTGGGAGTCACGACACAACAACTCAGCATCCAGCACGCTTGAGGTCGCTTGATCTACGCGCTATCTGCGTCAGTGGCAGTTGTTTGCATTTGTGCACACATGTATGCGTATGTTTGAATGTGTGTCTCCTCGGGTCAAGTGGTTGCACCCACGCCCCTTCCGAACGCTTGGTGTGTGTGCGTGCCCAGGCGCGCACACACGCACAATTTGTGAATAAAAGGGGAGGGCATTTACGCGGCCATAGGATTAATCTGCCTAGCCGTTACCATGCGTTGTCTCTTCGTCCTCCTCCTCTTTATCTTCGCCACAGCCTTTGCTGACAGTATGTAAAGCCACAACGTCATCGCCCATTAATGCCCATCACTTTTCTACTTCATCTCATCCGATGACTTAGAATCTTAGTCTTAGACACCTTACGTAGTGTCGATTTATGTTATCACGACTTACCACAAGTGACAGCTCTAGCCTCATATGTCTTTTATTTAAAGATTCTTGCAAGAGAATGGGTGAACGCTGCGACAGAACCGTCTTTAATAGGTGCTGCGAGGGTCTCTACTGCGTGCTGAAAGGATTTGCTGACGGTAGCTGCGAAAAGTGTCTGCCCCAGGGTCACTTCTGCTTCTCCGATGCAGAATGCTGCAGTGGTGACTGTGCTTGGTACAGCTTCTGCCGATAAATCCAACCACCCAGTTTTATCCGTTCAATTCCAACGAGCCTGCCACTGATTAAAACCCATTGCACATTTTTAATTCACCTTCTTGTTTGCTGCATCACAAAAAAACTTAGACGCCTCGTGAGGAATTTACTTCGACACAACTTTTATTCAATAAAAATCGGGTGTGCGTACGTTGGTAGCATTCTTCTTGCGAGACTATGAAAGGCGGGGACGGGTCAGGCATGTATGCCCATGCTTATTTCACAGTTCACTAGTTATGCAACCATTTGTCGCCTTAAAACCGATTTACCCATCCCCTTCCCTTGAGTATGCACAGTCCTTTGATGGCTGGGCTGTAATTCTAACCTAGTTGGAGTTGAAAAGGAAATTGCCTAGAAATTTACTCTGTGCTTTTTTCTGTGCATAAAGCCCACTCGAGCCGTCTCCACCACTCCTTTGCCCACTTCCATGCCCCAAACTTTGAATTATCATTTCACAGCTCCCCACCCATGCAGTCCAACGCAAATTATCTACTCGAGAGACTTAATGAACAGTTGATTCTCATTTTTCTCTAATCAAATACATTACTTCCTACCAACGGGTAAAAAAATCAGGGTTTTTCAGTGATGCTGAGATGATTTTTGAAACAGATTGTGCTCTTACCGAAGGAGTAAATGATGAGGAAGGTGATGTTTTGCCGGTTTACTTGTCATCTCACACGGAATACGCGTGTTACCCTCGCATGGTGGACAATTTAAGTTAAGCCAACTTGGAGGCTCTGCAGCTGCCTTGCAGACTGGGCATAAAGAAGGCTAACCGTCTGAGAATGAGTATCGCGCCAAGTGTAGCCGGTCCAAAGTATTTGCCAGTAGATACTTCACTACCTTCAGACGCCGCCTAGCATGGCTGAGTGGTGGACTGCGACTTAACGTCACTGCCATTTTGTTTGTCATGGGTCATGGTTGTTTAGACAGGAGTGCATGCAATGCCATTCTTGTCACCGCGAACTTTAAATCGTTAACCTATGTTTACAGAGTCATCTAAACCGTGGGAACTGTTTCCATTGTCTTGAAAGTTATGCGTTTTAAACAGGACGTTTAAAGTCATAAAAAAACCAAAACAGAGCGCTTACACCTTAAACTCTGTCCTTAGTCCCTTCGATGGCATTATCAAAGTTCAGCGAGGCACGTGATCCTAAACTTGTGATTTTCAGGCGTTCAAAACCTATACACACCCACACCTATCACTTCCCATTTTCAACAGAGTGTCGTCACCATAAGCCATTCATACACAGCAAAGGCAGTGTAAACAGTGGTGCGACGTCGGTCGATCATTCGACGTATAAAACACGTCAGTATTAAGCAAACACATTCATTCATCCGGTGCAATTATGCAAGCCTCACTTCTCGTCTTGGTCGTGTGTTTTCTAGCCTTTGTGAATGCTGATAGCAGTGAGTTTTCCTCGTTTTCTTCAAACAAATAAAACATTTTTCACCAATTACTATGATCATCAACCTGACACTTTAAAAGCTTGAGCCTAAGTTAATCGTTGGAAAACTAAAAAAGTCATATCAAAAGCAAAATCAAGTCCATTTTTTAATGTTTCAAGAAGCTCATGTCAACTTCATCATTGATAGACTGCCGCCGTGAAGGCGAGGACTGCAGCAGAACCATCTTCTCACGTTGCTGTGATCCCCTGTTCTGTCAGTTGCATTCGTTCGCGCAGGGCAAATGTGTCAAGTGCCTCGCAGGTCGACAGTTCTGCATGAGTGACAGCGAGTGCTGCTCAGGCAAATGTCACTGGTATCGCATTTGCTCTGACAGCTAAATCTTGCCCCTTCAACGCGACCTCGCCATCTCCCTCCCCTTCTCTGCTATCACAACACCTCCTTTAACGCTGTTAACAAGACCATGATCACTTCAACCCCCTATTGTCCCTTCACCGTTCTCATTTATTTGTGAAGTTACTTCCTCTTGCTAATACATGAATTTGAAACTGACTGACTGGACTTTACTTGAAGGCAAGCATTCAAACGGTGTGCAAAATCGCCTCTAGTGAATTGCCACACTTTACGGCAATGAGGCGATTCAACTTTTACCGCACCCATGAGAAGAAACTGCTCTTCCAACTTTAATGGTCAAATATATTTCCTATCAATCAAACCATAAAATCCTACTTTATGTTCAAATGAAATGTTTAAACGTATGCAACTAAATCAGATTTCATTGGCATGATTGATGATCAAATAAATGTACATTTTCAATTTCGCCACAGAGTAACAACAACGCTAATATTTACCGAAGGTGAGAGAATCTTTTCCTGCAAAACGCATTTTGACTTTGAGGGTTGGTTTACCTTAGCGTTTGACTAAGCATACCGACTAACTGCACCTGCATCCTCTCAGCTATTCCGTGCGGACAGCACGGAAATTCCAATGTCAACGAAGATCTGCCGTGTTCGGCCGGCCTCAACGCCACATCATCTGGCCTCGCTTTTAAGAGAGCTGTAGGAAAGAATTGTTTGGCATTCAGAGAGCTGTTTGCAGTGTGGAGCAGAAGACCATGACAGGTGTGGCAAAAGTGGAGGGTGAGGTTGCATTTCTTAAATGCTGATGCAGCTTATTGATGAATGGAAGAGAAACTAACCGGTTTGGCTTCCACACTTTGATGTGGCAGTGTGGGCTGCCCCAAGAGTGAAGCGTGTGTTTCTGAATGCTCCACGACCGAAATGCACGTTCTATGCAGGGCAACCTGCCACGACACGCTGCCAATAGCGAAGATGATGAGGAACTTCTGCAGCACTAAAACTTGACCCACGGTTCAGCGCACACATCAATGAAATGAGGGGGGAAGGGTAGAGAGAGGCGTATTGTTTAGAGGGAGTGACAGACAATTCTGTTTGGACACGCACACGCACAACCTCCAGCACTTCAAGCATGTCCAGTGTCTATGCAACGTGCTGAACCGACGATTAAAAGGTTTCCAACCATGTAATGACTTTGCACTTGAAGTGACACATCCTGCAATTTTATGCCTTCCTGTGATTGTGTGAGAACATTTTATTTTCCCATCAAAACTCAAATTGTGCCTCACCACTCTGATCAGACATACGCATAGGGTGAAGGAATAAAAATTTTAATTTACAGAAATTATTTCCTTACAAATGCAAAGAGATGCGTACCATTTTCTCAAAAGTGAAAAATAAGCAAAATCCACTCGGTGATAACGAAGTGTTATACGAAAGATGGGCAAACATTGAAAAAATTGCACCATTTAGGTAGATTTGGATAATTTGATCATAATAAAGAAGTAAAAAAGTCAAAAGCGCGTCTAAAATTTTAATTTAGCATGATTTTAGGGATTCGATAGTGTCCGTGGACTACATATGAGCTCATTTGTTTTGTGCTTGAAACTAAATTATTTTTTTATTTATCATCGCTCGCAACTACAACTTCCACCCTTTCCGAACCACGCATAAATACATACGTACATCCATACTGTGCAATTGTTGTTTCATACTGTATAGTATAGCATTAACAATTACTGCATTGCATCACACTACGAAACACTACACTGCCCAGTCGTACCACTTTCAGTTGCTCTCCT